AATTATCTGAAAATGGGGAGAGAAGATAGTTCAGTTCCTGGTGACCACAGAGTAAGATGTTAACTATAAGAATGTTCAAAAAGGTTTCATATAACAATCTCTTGACCATTTATCTTTCACAGGTCTAAATATTTCCTCAACACAGTGATTTCAAACATTGCTATTTATGTTCTACCATCAGAGTACAGATGAGATCTTTAACAATCAATAAAACTACAGACAAAATTACAGTTCACTATGCCTTAACCATTACTGTTTCAGGTTTAAAGCAACTATTAATAAAAACCAGAATTTACAGAGTAAGCAGATACACTGCGCAATAACCCAAATATCATTTCATTACACCACATACAGACTGTGCAGTATTCTTGCACTTAAAATGGTACTCTCTCTAACAAATTCATTCCCTCAAATCAGAGCCATCTTAAAGGAAGTGCATACAAAGTGCACTCTTCAACTTCTACTTTACATTCATGCCCACATTACAGACTGGCAAGAACACATTATGAAGAAAAAGCACTAAACAAAATGGATACACGATGTATAAACCACTGTTACATCTTAGAAAAGCATTCTCATCCTACATTCGCATGACCTCTGTTATCATGAAGGATAAGTAAATTTAAGCGCAGTAATCTGATACACAAAGCAAGTGCGTTATAATTTTTTAAAAATCATTAATCCTCGATTATCAGTCTGTGGCCTGAAAGCTTACAACTATCCATAACACATTATTGAGCATTATTAAAAACACACTTCATAAAAGTGTGAAGGAAATAAATGTACAGACAAATCATATAAAGTATAATTCAATCTGTAACAAATATCTAACTTATATGGCATTCTTAATCACAGTAATTAGTACTAATACAGCTCAGTCAACAAAGAGGCTGATTAAAACAAATCAGCTAGGCTTCGATGCTGGACGTTTATTTGTCTCCAATGGACCAGCCATGAGGATACTAGGGCCTTCTTGCCCAGAGATGCATCACAGTCAGTAACTGAAGCACATATTTTCCCCGCAAACTGTGTCAGCACTTAGAATGCATGGAGATCTCCCTCCACGACCACTGACATTTCACAGTGCCACCTCTCTTAGTATTGCAATTACTGCAGCACTGAGTAAACCAGATACTGGCACTGTTACCAACCACGCAACAACAATATTCCTGTGGAAACAACAATAAATAATTTCATTCAAGAAAAACTTAGGAATCAGAATTAACAGTTTTAAAATACGGTCAGTAGCTGAAAGCTGAGAAACATGTTTGTTACTCGATCTGACTCGGTGCAGAAGACCGCAGAGAAAACTGAAGACAGAGACCGGCGGAGATGCTTGGTTGAAAGAGCACCCTCTTATAGCGGAAACATCTTAATAATAATAAGAGCCATAAATGTATTCCGAGTGTTCATGCAATCTGACGCCGTGAATTAGGCATATACAAACCAAATGAGAGGAAGGAATGAAGTGTACCAAGTCGCAAGACTCGCCTGAATAGTTTCCAGTCGACCCCTTCCTTCGTGGCATTGGCCCAGCCAACGAACACGACGGATCCGACCAAGCAGTGCGTGGTGCTGATGGGCATACCAATCTTTGAAGCCAGTAAGACGGTAAGTGCGGCCCCAATCTCTATCGTGAACCCTCTGGAATGTAAATTACAGCTCAAAGACAAGTAACGACTGTGCCAAACCTCAGAACCGGTATCAGCAGACAACCGGCACATTATTTACCAGAGCAAAACTGATTCCGGAGGCCTGTATTATGTTAACAAGGTTCTAAAGACATCTCCATCTCAGAATACACAACGCTTCCAAATACTACGCAATTCGGCATGCGTGAGTGTGTGACAGATCTTCATATTCAGTTACTGCACACAGACAGTCAACATGTTTGCATTAAAAAGTCATTTTTTCCTACATTTGATCAAATATACACCACACTAAAGTATGTTTCAAATAAAACTTATCATACCTGAGCTCTGAACTTGCTACACTTGTTTCATTTTAACATAGAGCACCTTTAAACACAGTTTTTGTAAAAAGCAGCAGCTGCATTTGAGTTACAATTGTTAGTATAAAACTCCATGTCATCAAAATATATCATGTAACCTGGAATCTGAAATGTATAGATGGACAGATGTGGTCACACAAATATCATATTTTTTCCATTGTATATATTTTCGTCACCACAGTTACGTTATCTGGAAGGTGACAGCGGCGACTTATGTTGAAAATAAATCAAATGACAGAAACATGTCAGTTAATAGATGCAACAGCTGAAAATGCACAGACGTGAAACAGAGACACCGGATCGGTTTTAATGTATATTTGTAAATGACCCCACAACAAAAGAATGCGCTGAATTCAGTAATATAAGAAATGCAAATAAACAGCTGACAGCAGTTGCACTCACATCAAGTCTGCTTCGAAGAAAATCCCACAAATACATAGGATTTAAAGGTACAAAGATGCACACATTTTACTTGTCTGAACGTGCACTCACGTGGAAGCCGCGATCTTCGTGAGGTCCTCACCTATGGTCTTCATCACTCTCTGACCATACACCCACAGACCAACAGACATGCCAATACCTCCATAAAATAAAATGTAGATCGGAGTCTCCTCCTTCTGCTGCACAGATCCTTCGGTGTAGATCAGCCACAGCGCAATCACTGGGCCAATGGCGTTACTGAAACAAAAGAGGCACAGTGAGATCTGAGTTGATTCGATGACCTTAAAAACAATTAGCAAAGCGACAAATTATTAATCTCATCTTCACACAGTTTTCTCCACCACCTTACAGACATTTTTCCAATTACAATGAAACCTGTCTAGCATGTGTACGCAGTATACAGCATAAGTTGTGACATGAACATATGGAACACATCTAAATGTAGTTCGAGTGTTAAAAAATGCGGGAAAACGCTCAGATTCCAAAATCTGCTATACGTAAGTCCTAGTACCTCTCCCAACCTCAAGTCTGAAAGAAGGTCGGAAGATTACCTGACGTCATTTCCACCACGTGCAAATGAAGAAAATGTGGCAGCAAGAATCTGCAGGAATGAGAAGAGTTCAGGTGGGGCTGCTTTATCCTCTGAGGTTGGCTGTCCTGTGCCATTATCAGAGGAGAGACCTGAAACATAATACAGTACCACGCAGCGTTCGGAATTTGATCTGCTTTTTTGTATGAGTGTGAAACATGGTCTTTCATTCTAAAGAAAAAACAGTGTGATAAAAATATTTGTATCTGTTGCACATACAAATGCTAAATTCTGTATTTCGACAGGATGTGTAGCATGTAACTTGCCAATCTTGGCACCACCGCACAGAACCATTCGTCTGGTTCCTTATTTTCGAGACGTCATATTTATAACACCTCTTCTAGTTAAGGTTCTTACACCGTCCTGATCTCTTCATGACTATTAAAGGCCAATAATTCATATTTCAAGTCCGAGAACAAATATCGCAGGGTCAGTCTGCTCTCACTCACAGGGCATAATGAAAATGTTGGCCGGGAGAGCAAATCATGGCAGGTTCTGGTCAAAGGCAAGTGACGGAGAAAGCATGCGAAAAAATCTGCACTGCACCTTGAACCCCGAACCCCTGATGAGCAAGCACCAAGAACATCAGATTCCATGAAATATTACATTTATGCCCGCATATACGACACAACTGCGAATTGTAATTCTTGTCTTCTCCCAAAATAATTACAGTAATTCCAACATTACAAAAACTAGTGACTCACTGAAAGCTAGGTTGTCCTGTCCGTGTTTTGCCACAGCCCCGGGAGGTTCAGTTTCCTGCAATAAACAGAGATGTACCAGAATTATCATAGAGTGCTTGTCACAAAGGACCACAACATCTTGAAACTGTAGAACAGGATACTACTTACAATTTCTGTACTAGTACCCGTCCACAGATCCAATGTTCACCCACATATTTACGTGACTGTAAAACAGTACTTTGCTTTGAAAGTACTGACTAAATAAAATAACTATTTCAGCTTTTGCTACAAAAATTGCAAATACTTTCATGGCTGCAGAACATCTACCAACTGCAGTACACCGTCAAACAAAGTCCTGACAGTTTACTTATAGAACAACAAATATAAAAGTTATGTCGTAATTCTCAGGTATCTGCTTTTAAATATCTTAAGCAGGCGTAATCAAATTAGTATGACGAGAAGAGAGTATCTTATCGGCATGAGAGGATTTTCAAGATGAAGAACACATTCATACGTGTACTTTGGTAGAAAGTCGTTAGATAGTACACATTCTGCATAAATGAAAGTTATGCAGAGAGAGAGACAGGATATTTGGGAGAGTGGTTAGGACACCTCATTCCAGAGACCAGATATCCCGACGCAGGATTGTGATAGCCTTCCCCCAAATATTGCTGTAATAGTACCTTCAAATTAGACTGAAACTGCTTCCTTCCAAATCCTGCCAACTCATTATTGTTTAATAATTCTATCGTTCCATGCTACATAATCTGAGCTTCTGACATCACATCAACTACGGTCCACAAGTGTCTCAGCACTACGCACCTTGGGATTTCAGCCAGATGACTGGAATGCATCTGGCAAATATCAGTGCTTACCTCATTGCTGTTTGTCGTCTGTGGGCCCTCAGAGTTAACAGCAAATGGTACCATCTTAACAGCGGGTGGTACCATATTGTCAATGATCCCTGTCAGTGTCCCATTGACCTCGGTGCAGGACGAGTCGACTTTGTACTCGTCATCTCTCGTCTTTTGCGTTGAACCTGTTTCTGCAAATTAAAATTCATAAAAGTGATTATGTTTATGGGGTGATGAATTTCACCAAACATTTAGCATCCAATAATAAAATGAAGAGACACAACTGTAGTAGAGTCTCCCTCCTTCCCGGTCACCCCAGCCACTAACCCCTAAAGTCTACCCACTGTTTCAAGACTGAAGCTAGGTGTATAAGTCATAAAGATGCTGACCTGACTGACCACCGAGCTTCCGCTTCATGAACGGCACGAGCACGAGCTGCACAGTCAGCATAGTCACTGCTCCACAGCACAAGCTGATGATCAATGTGGCCCACCAAGGGATTCGATCAAAATACAGCACTGCAAAGGCGTGGAAACATCACTCACTTGATCAGTATTATTCAATGTAGAGAATCAATAATTATATTGATAAAAAAGGCTAATAAACAGTTCATTACACTCCAGCGAGATATAAATTATCTGTCATATTTGATTAAATAAAAGTCAGGGGAAAAAAGAGACCTCTTCAGAGACACAAGCAAAAATGGGAGAAAAATATTAATGTGGATATTACAGAGACAACGTGTCTGGCTACGGACCAGAAACAACTGCCCATGAACAATGGCTTGTAAATTCAACAAAGCATTGGAAATTTTCTGACCATTAGCTTCTAAAGAACTCTGCTTGAATACTGCAGTTACCTCGTTATTGTGCACTACATACACAGAATTATTAGAAATATTTGTTCTAATGTGGAATTCCTGCAAAACTTGGTTGAAATATTTTGCAACATTTTACATTCAACAAAGAACTTTCATACTTACGCTAATTAATACATTCACATTATTCTCGGACACAATGCAACGCACTTACATGTCGGACCGTCAAGGAAGATGGAGAACACGTTGATGAAGACAGTCACACCATAGATGATGGGCAGACTCAGCAAACCTCGTACTATGGGATTAGGCGCGTTGAGGATGAAGTGACGAACCAGAGCAAACAGCGACACCGATATCACACCAGACAGCACCGGCGACAGGAACCAAGATCCCACTGCAAAGTAACCGGATGCAACTGCAGCTGACAGGACGAGAAGCCTCAAACTTCATCCAGACACACCAAGTACATGAACCTTGTGTAGCTTCTTAAATACTCAAAAAATTAAAAATACTACACGCTACACTTAGAGAAACTCCTGACATTAATGTCCCACGTTACCTGCAATGTTTACAGTCACCAGATTTAACTGGGCTCCTACAAACAGAAACCCGTGTCAACGCAGACCTACCAATCAATCCAAGGACTCCCCAGTTGATGCCGTCATTCCCGCGGCAAACCAGAGAGAAACCAAGAGTGGCACCGACGATGCCGTGAGTGGCTGATACAGGAAGCTTCAGGAATATTGCAATGAGCAGCAACACAGAGCTGGAAACTGCAACAATAAAAGAGTATCAACATGTGCCACTCATAAATCAATACAACCTGCACCATCATATCTGTTTAAACAGAATTTCCCCATTTAAATTTGTACGTACTTCTTACTTCACCCATATTCTACATGCGCTGTAAAAATAGACCACCTGGGATCATTCAGTTTTAAAATTCCAAAATGCCATCTTTCTTGATTCAAATATATTAAACACATTCTGTAACGTGCCACTTACTCAGGACTGCGAACATTCCGAGCATAAGCTCCAACTCAGCACCTTCGTAAACCGTCAACTGCAAAACACCTTTACGCACTGTTCCCGACACTTTGTAACCTGCAACGCAGAAAAACCCATCGGACACTGTGTAACTCAGCGGGTATCAAAAGGGTGCAGCGTTCAAGTAGAGTGGAAATAATATAAAATGGAACCTGTTTTCAACTGAAAATTTCTCTGGTCCAAATAAAAATGGCCCAGTGAACCAAAATTAAGGTAAATATTAAACCACTTTTCTGGTAACAGGGTCCAAAGGCTCTGATGGTTTCCCAAGTCCCATTTTATATATTTATTTGCCTTCCAACTAGAACATATATTATCTCCATTCAAATTCACCAAATGCATTGCGTTTAGATGAAAATATTTTCATTAGCATTTCATGTTCAAATATTACTGCCATTGTTCTCAGAGAGCGACATCAGAATTACAATTTCATGTTCCTTCGTCTTCGATGCTTTGAAATGCAAATAGGGGACAGACAAAAGGCACAGACAACTAAGGAAGAATAAACTGCAGAATCCAACGGACAGAAAACACGTTCCACTCACCTAGCAGAACGGATCCAGCGATTTCACACACCGTTCCCAAACAGCATGCCTGCCTGAGAGTGAGCACTTTTGATCCGACCGAAGTAGCAAATGAGTTCGGAACGCTGTTAGCTCCAATGCCAAATGCCAATATGAAGGCTATTATGAAACCGACGATGACAACCCACAGGACGTCAGTCGAATATGGGTCAATCATGATGAAAAGCTTGCGGATTCTTCACACAGCTCGTTGCAGAGACACTTCGATGTTCGTAACAGTTTATAAGAAGCAGTTTTCCCATTCCTGATATCCGTGCATTACGCTACCGTCGCTGTTGCAACTATGTAGTGTCACAGAACTTTTTCTTTGCTTGAAAACAGCGAACAACAAAACAAATTATTTTAACAGCGCCTGCCCGTCATTTTGACAGCAGAAAAATATAAAAGCCAGCTGAGACACTGATCGAATTCTTCGCTGGACAATGACCTCTCTCCTTCGTGACAGTCCCCGAGCGTCACCTGGAACACAGAGAAAAAAAATTCTGAATTTGCTTAAAACACTGAAAAAACTTCAAAGCTAGGATCGTCTTCAGGCTTCATGTTCTGTGTGTGTGCGTGTACATGGATTTATAACTGAATGATGGAGTCCGAACAATGCAGGGTTTGAGGATTTCACGGCGGCGAGTCTGAATTTGCTGTCTTCTGGGTCGTTAAATCGCCCTGATGATGGAAGCAAAATGGACCTCTGAAACGTTGGTGGACATCTACCAGACTACATGACACAACAACCCAGAATTATATTATGGATGTCATGGCGGTGTCGGATTAGAATATGTGAAAATACAATACAGGAAGTGAGCAAAATGAAAATAAGCAAGAGTTTTCAGAATTTAATCTCAGCTGAACTTCTTTGCAAATGTAACTGTGATTTGTTACTGTCATTACCACAAAAAATACTAAAAAATTTTTTTTACTAAAATGTAAGTTGTCAAAGGACAGCTGTTAATTATGAGAAAAATAGCAGCTCTAGTTGGAAGAAATCTTCAAAATGCACCAGGGGTGATGACAGTCCTCAGCTAGCGGATTCCTAACCTCGAAATAATGAGTTTCGGGGACAACGCCTTGCAACAAAACCTGAACCACTCGATGCTACTGCCAAAAGTGTCCTACATTTCTGACATTGTTGAAGGGTAAACTGAATTACGTAAGTTTAAATACTGACGGGGAATAATAACAGAGCTCGCGTGTTCAATATAAGTGCATGAAAGGCTCACGCCAGTTCTACAAACAAACGCGAAGTGGCTCGCCTTTGCACAATCCGAGACGCCGGGTCAACTTTCTTTTCGTTGTGAGTGTACGCACACAGAACAGAGCGCGGCCGAATATTTGTCGTCCCGGAACGGAGAGTCAGGCTGTGCAAAACACTTATTTTGTTTTCTCAAATCATCAACACAACAATGCAGTGCTTACTAAACTTATTTGTCACTCGAGTTGCCATTCGGATCCTACAACTGACGATGTGGCAACAACTCGCGCTCCTATGCACGGTTATAATCGGTAACGAAGGTTTGCCGAACGACTGAAATATATTAAACAGACTTAGAAAACTTTAATTACCTTCCACGCAATGTGGGCCTTCAAATATACCAGGACAATACTCGGGAAAAACTTGTAATGTGCATCGATCGGAATTCATTAAAATGTCTCAAACGACTGACTACTTGTTCCTAACTAAAACTGAAATGGCTCAACAAAAATGTGGCGTAAGTTTTTCATACCGAGTTCCGTCGAAATCGGTTTCGCAGTTTTCGGTGGCGGTGCCCGAATAACTGTGAGACGAGCATGATACCAACAGACGCACTTAAGACGTTTACACAAACTACTGAGGGTTGTAACTCCCTAAGCGCTATGGATAGCTCGAGTCGAGTTGCCTCGAAAGCAATGTCCCTGCATTTGTTTTCGAAAGTCAGTTTGAATGACCTCGAAATGTCGCCAAAACCAGTTTAAAATAACATTAATTTCCATAAAATTATTTCGAAAAATTAATTTAAAAAGTTCACAAACCTTTCCTTAATTTCGTTTCGCATTCTGATGTTGGCATTAATTAAAGTAGCATTACGATAGAAACGAACTGACCTTGTCTCACCACGGATTCTTGGACGATGCAAACTCCAAATTTGAGGTTTTCTGACAGACGATACAGCTCACATTATGTACGACTTTACAACGTAATAATCACACTTTGTCCTTCCTGTGATATCAAAAATCGTGAAACGCAATACTGACTTCTATCCACGAACCAGTCTGACGAAAACTAAAAATTATCCTTTCCTCAAACACCCACTCCTCACTCACACTTAATAGCTCGTTCGTGGAATTACCTTACCACAGGTAAACACGATGTTTTTCCCGCTGACGAAATAATATCTGGGTAAAATTTGAAATATAATGAGTAATAACGTTACCACACTCTCTCACTCCATCGTGCAGTGTTCTTTGAAACGTCGATTGTTACTCGGCTTTTCAAAGAACAGCCCACTTTGTTATGGAACCCGACTCTATCCTGACTTAGACGCAGGTAACAAAAGACAAAACTGTTACCAACTATGAAACGAAGGAACAGCCATCACGCTGCACGGCGAAAAATGAAATGATCTCGTGAACTAACAAGGAAAGGGAAACAATGCGCCGAACTGGAAAAACAAATGACGCACTGTCGACCGCATGAAACTGTTTTGCCATGGACTCTTACTGGCAAGACGGGACATGACACCGAGCATTTTTGCACTCTTGATTGACTGACAAACAAACAATGGCCAAACAACACACACACGTATTCAGACGAGCTCCGTGACCATTTAAAACATACAAAATTACTAATAAAGGTTTGTTTCAGTCATAACTATTTCCAAAAGTACAGAATTGCTCACGTTTGTTTAAGTCCCAAACAGGATGTTTTCAAAACTTGTTTCTAAGCACCAAAAAATGGCGACAGCTTAGGGTTACTGGAGGATGCTGAGTTAAGTTTAATTGGATTAACATTAACCATGCGCTCCATTAAGGGCACTGAAGAGAACATTTGGACCAAGAGACTGTGGCAAATTGTATAATACTGAGCTTCATAATTCGTACTCTTTGCAAACATTAGCATGACAAATTCGAGAAAGACGTAAAAGGCAAGGGATTTTATCGTATAATAGGGAGATAAGAAATGCATGCAAAATTTTGGTTGGAATGGCTAACGACAGGGTATTTGGAGCTCTAGGTGAACTTTCAGCCCAATGAGCTACCAATAATTAATATTATGCATGCGTATGAAAAAAATGCACTGACTGGTCACAATGTCGACCTCCTCACATGCTTACCAACCATTTATAAACAACATTTCAGGCGAGCTATGGTGCACACCCAGATTTTTGATTAATCAGAACTCTCACAAGGGACTGAAATTCGTGTTTGTAGGTTTAGAAAGTGATAATGCATATGGAACATCTAAATGACGTAACGTGTAATACTTACTGGTACATTAATTGGCCACATTTCCCACTGTAAAGAGTCTGAAGCCGACCGAGATGCCCGAGGACACATACAATTTCATGGGTGTTTGGTGGCGTGGGATGGGGGCAGCAGCAAAATGAGCACTTTATGAAGGAACGCAACAGTTTATACACTTTTCGTTTTGCCTCAAAAAGTGTTAATCACCTCTTTTATTTTCGTAATTACACATGTTACACGGAAAAAATTATCTTAAGAAATGTCAAGACATGTTACGAACTATGTACTTTATTTCCATGGCATAGTTCTGTATTTTAAAACAAATTAATTCCCTGTAATTAAAGTAATTTCAAAAGAAACCACGCTCCTACCTTCACATGAAGTGACGCACCGTTCTTATTCGCAGACCCCGAGCCAGTACAAATTATGAAGCAAGCACGCGCTTAACTTCACCACTTGGTGCGCAGATGGCAAGGGTTACCTAAAAATTCTGGTATTAATTCTTCATGCTTTTATCTTCTCTGTATCACGTCACCAGAACTCATCCTGTATTTTCGATTTGTATTCACAACTGGCAAGCGAATTCCAGTTTTGTCCGCACTGATACGCGGTTAACCGTTATGTTAAATTAATTTGAAATAAAATTCTACAAAATTCCTAATTCTGCAGAGAAACGGTACACGGTGCAATACGCGTCTTTAATTTGTAACACGCGCACATTAAGCGAAGTGTAAGAAAAATAATAATTAAGTGTATTACTTGTATTGTTAACATTTAGTATAATTCCACAACAAGAAAGCATCCACTGAATAGTTTCAGAGGAAAAAGGACGTATCACCTCCTGTAACATTTTATAAAAGCATTCTCAACGTACGTTCTCAGAACCTCTTGCCCTAGTCTGGCATCTTGAAGGTTCGCTGTAATCAACGGTACAGCAAAATGATACACAAAGGACATAAGTTGTAACTTCTAAAAGACTCAGCAATCCTTGATTGTCAGACTTTAGAGGTCAGAACTATACATGCCGCATTATTCAAGTTGTCGTTCATAAAACTGTAAGCTGATAAAAGAATTATATAATAAATTACAGATAAAACAAATTCTTGAATTGTTTGGCATTCATAACAAACACAGAGTCGGCAGAACCACACGGTTCGATGTTTCTAATACCAAGGCCCGCCACTGCACGGAATCCCGAGCCAGTTCCATCCACTTCCCATCATCACAACCTATTTCCGCAAGATAGGCCGCAATACAACGCCGTCATCTCCTTCTCAGTCTTCCAAGTGGACGTTTTTCGAGACGTTATTCCCAACAACCTTTCGTGCGTAATCTAACGTCAACAGTAGAGTCAGTACAAAGACGACAACTGGAGTCTATCATATCCTCAAACGCTGCACCGTCGTCAGTGACTGAAGCACATATTTTCCCCGCAAACTGTGTCAGCACTTAGAATGCATGGAGATCTCCCTCCACGACCACTGACATTTCACAGTGCCACCTCTCTTAGTATTGCAATTACTGCAGCACTGAGTAAACCAGATACTGGCACTGTTACCAACCACGCAACAACAATATTCCTGTGGAAACAACAATAAATAATTTCATTCAAGAAAAACTTAGGAATTAGAATTAACAGTTTTAAAATACGGTCAGTAGCTGAAAGCTGAGAAACATGTTTGTTACTCGATCTGACTCGGTGCAGAAGACCGCAGAGAAAACTCAAGACGAGGAGGTGCGGGAAGACAGAGACAGGCGGAGATGCTTGGTTGAAAGAGCACCCTCTTATAGCGGAAACATCTTAATAATAATAAGAGCCATAAATGTATTCCGAGTGTTCATGCAATCTGACGCCGTGAATTAGGCATATACAAACCAAATGAGAGGAAGGAATGAAGTGTACCAAGTCGCAAGACTCGCCTGAATAGTTTCCAGTCGACCCCTTCCTTCGTGGCATTGGCCCAGCCAACGAACACGACGGATCCGACCTTGCAGTGTGTGGTGCTGATGGGCATACCAATCTTTGAAGCCAGTAAGACGGTAAGTGCGGCCCCAATCTCTATCGTGAACCCTCTGGAATGTAAATTACAGCTCAAAGACAAGTAACGACTGTGCCAAACCTCAGAACCGGTATCAGCAGACAACCGGCACATTATTTACCAGAGCAAAACTGATTCCGGAGGCCTGTATTATGTTAACAAGGTTCTAAAGACATCTCCATCTCAGAATACACAACGCTTCCAAATACTACGCAATTCGGCATGCGTGAGTGTGTGACAGATCTTCATATTCAGTTACTGCACACAGACAGTCAACATGTTTGCATTAAAAAGTCATTTTTTCCTACATTTGATCAAATATACACCACACTAAAGTATGTTTCAAATAAAACTTATCATACCTGAGCTCTGAACTTGCTACACTTGTTTCATTTTAACATAGAGCACCTTTAAACACAGTTTTTGTAAAAAGCAGCAGCTGCATTTGAGTTACAATTGTTAGTATAAAACTCCATGTCATCAAAATATATCATGTAACCTGGAATCTGAAATGTATAGATGGACAGATGTGGTCACACAAATATCATATTTTTTCCATTGTATATATTTTCGTCACCACAGTTACGTTATCTGGAAGGTGACAGCGGCGACTTATGTTGAAAATAAATCAAATGACAGAAACATGTCAGTTAATAGATGCAACAGCTGAAAATGCACAGACGTGAAACAGAGACACCGGATCGGTTTTAATGTATATTTGTAAATGACCCCACAACAAAAGAATGCGCTGAATTCAGTAATATAAGAAATGCAAATAAACAGCTGACAGCAGTTGCACTCACATCAAGTCTGCTTCGAAGAAAATCCCACAAATACATAGGATTTAAAGGTACAAAGATGCACACATTTTACTTGTCTGAACGTGCACTCACGTGGAAGCCGCGATCTTCGTGAGGTCCTCACCTATGGTCTTCATCACTCTCTGACCATACACCCACAGACCAACAGACATGCCAATACCTCCATAAAATAAAATGTAGATCGGAGTCTCCTCCTTCTGCTGCACAGATCCTTCGGTGTAGATCAGCCACAGCGCAATCACTGGGCCAATGGCGTTACTGAAACAAAAGAGGCACAGTGAGATCTGAGTTGATTCGATGACCTTAAAAACAATTAGCAAAGCGACAAATTATTAATCTCATCTTCACACAGTTTTCTCCACCACCTTACAGACATTTTTCCAATTACAATGAAACCTGTCTAGCATGTGTACGCAGTATACAGCATAAGTTGTGACATGAACATATGGAACACATCTAAATGTAGTTCGAGTGTTAAAAAATGCGGGAAAACGCTCAGATTCCAAAATCTGCTATACGTAAGTCCTAGTACCTCTCCCAACCTCAAGTCTGAAAGAAGGTCGGAAGATTACCTGACGTCATTTCCACCACGTGCAAATGAAGAAAATGTGGCAGCAAGAATCTGCAGGAATGAGAAGAGTTCAGGTGGGGCTGCTTTATCCTCTGAGGTTGGCTGTCCTGTGCCATTATCAGAGGAGAGACCTGAAACATAATACAGTACCACGCAGCGTTCGGAATTTGATCTGCTTTTTTGTATGAGTGTGAAACATGGTCTTTCATTCTAAAGAAAAAACAGTGTGATAAAAATATTTGTATCTGTTGCACATACAAATGCTAAATTCTGTATTTCGACAGGATGTGTAGCATGTAACTTGCCAATCTTGGCACCACCGCACAGAACCATTCGTCTGGTTCCTTATTTTCGAGACGTCATATTTATAACACCTCTTCTAGTTAAGGTTCTTACACCGTCCTGATCTCTTCATGACTATTAAAGGCCAATAATTCATATTTCAAGTCCGAGAACAAATATCGCAGGGTCAGTCTGCTCTCACTCACAGGGCATAATGAAAATGTTGGCCGGGAGAGCAAATCATGGCAGGTTCTGGTCAAAGGCAAGTGACGGAGAAAGCATGCGAAAAAATCTGCACTGCACCTTGAACCCCGAACCCCTGATGAGCAAGCACCAAGAACATCAGATTCCATGAAATATTACATTTATGCCTGCATATACGACACAACTGCGAATTGTAATTCTTGTCTTCTCCCAAAATAATTACAGTAATTCCAACATTACAAAAACTAGTGACTCACTGAAAGCTAGGTTGTCCTGTCCGTGTTTTGCCACAGCCCCGGGAGGTTCAGTTTCCTGCAATAAACAGAGATGTACCAGAATTATCATAGAGTGCTTGTCACAAAGGACCACAACATCTTGAAACTGTAGAACAGGATACTACTTACAATTTCTGTACTAGTACCCGTCCACAGATCCAATGTTCACCCACATATTTACGTGACTGTAAAACAGTACTTTGCTTTGAAAGTACTGACTAAATAAAATAACTATTTCAGCTTTTGCTACAAAAATTGCAAATACTTTCATGGCTGCAGAACATCTACCAACTGCAGTACACCGTCAAACAAAGTCCTGACAGTTTACTTATAGAACAACAAATATAAAAGTTATGTCGTAATTCTCAGGTATCTGCTTTTAAATATCTTAAGCAGGCGTAATCAAATTAGTATGACGAGAAGAGAGTATCTTATCGGCATGAGAGGATTTTCAAGATGAAGAACACATTCATACGTGTACTTTGGTAGAAAGTCGTTAGATAGTACACATTCTGCATAAATGAAAGTTATGCAGAGAGAGAGACAGGATATTTGGGAGAGTGGTTAGGACACCTCATTCCAGAGACCAGATATCCCGACGCAGGATTGTGATAGCCTTCCCCCAAATATTGCTGTAATAGTACCTTCAAATTAGACTGAAACTGCTTCCTTCCAAATCCTGCCAACTCATTATTGTTTAATAATTCTATCGTTCCATGCTACATAATCTGAGCTTCTGACATCACATCAACTACGGTCCACAAGTGTCTCAGCACTACGCACCTTGGGATTTCAGCCAGATGACTGGAATGCATCTGGCAAATATCAGTGCTTACCTCATTGCTGTTTGTCGTCTGTGGGCCCTCAGAGTTAACAGCAAATGGTACCATCTTAACAGCGGGTGGTACCATATTGTCAATGATCCCTGTCAGTGTCCCATTGACCTCGGTGCAGGACGAATCGACTTTGTACTCGTCATCTCTCGTCTTTTGCGTTGAACCTGTTTCTGCAAATTAAAATTCATAAAAGTGATTATGTTTATGGGGTGATGAATTTCACCAAACATTTAGCATCCAATAATAAAATGAAGAGACACAACTGTAGTAGAGTCTCCCTCCTTCCCGGTCACCCCAGCCACTAACCCCTAAAGTCTACCCACTGTTTCAAGACTGAAGCTAGGTGTATAAGTCATAAAGATGCTGACCTGACTGACCACCGAGCTTCCGCTTCATGAACGGCACGAGCACGAGCTGCACAGTCAGCATAGTCACTGCTCCACAGCACAAGCTGATGATCAATGTGGCCCACCAAGGGATTCGATCAAAATACAGCACTGCAAAGGCGTGGAAACATCACTCACTTGATCAGTATTATTCAATGTAGAGAATCAATAATTATATTGATAAAAAAGGCTAATAAACAGTTCATTACACTCCAGCGAGATATAAATTATCTGTCATATTTGATTAAATAAAAGTCAGGGGAAAAAAGAGACCTCTTCAGAGACACAAGCAAAAATGGGAGAAAAATATTAATGTGGATATTACAGAGACAACGTGTCTGGCTACGGACCAGAAACAACTGCCCATGAACAATGGCTTGTAAATTCAACAAAGCATTGGAAATTTTCTGACCATTAGCTTCTAAAGAACTCTGCTTGAATACTGCAGTTACCTCGTTATTGTGCACTACATACACAGAATTATTAGAAATATTTGTTCTAATGTGGAATTCCTGCAAAACTTGGTTGAAATATTTTGCAACATTTTACATTCAACAAAGAACTTTCATACTTACGCTAATTAATACATTCACATTATTCTCGGACACAATGCAACGCACTTACATGTCGGACCGTCAAGGAAGATGGAGAACACGTTGATGAAGACAGTCACACCATAGATGATGGGCAGACTCAGTAAACCTCGTACTATGGGATTAGGCGCGTTGAGGATGAAGTGACGAACCAGAGCAAACAGCGACACCGATATCACACCAGACAGCACCGGCGACAGGAACCAAGATCCCACTGCAAAGTAACCGGATGCAACTGCAGCTGACAGGACGAGAAGCCTCAAACTTCATCCAGACACACCAAGTACATGAACCTTGTGTAGCTTCTTAAATACTCAAAAAATTAAAAATACTACACGCTACACTTAGAGAAACTCCTGACATTAATGTCCCACGTTACCTGCAATGTTTACAGTCACCAGATTTAACTGGGCTCCTACAAACAGAAACCCGTGTCAACGCAGACCTACCAATCAATCCAAGGACTCCCCAGTTGATGCCGTCATTCCCGCGGCAAACCAGAGAGAAACCAAGAGTGGCACCGACGATGCCGTGAGTGGCTGATACAGGAAGCTTCAGGAATATTGCAATGAGCAGCAACACAGAGCTGGAAACTGCAACAATAAAAGAGTATCAACATGTGCCACTCATAAATCAATACAACCTGCACCATCATATCTGTTTAAACAGAATTTCCCCATTTAAATTTGTACGTACTTCTTACTTCACCCATATTCTACATGCGCTGTAAAAATAGACCACCTGGGATCATTCAGTTTTAAAATTCCAAAATGCCATCTTTCTTGATTCAAATATATTAAACACATTCTGTAACGTGCCACTTACTCAGGACTGCGAACATTCCGAGCATAAGCTCCAACTCAGCACCTTCGTAAACCGTCAACTGCAAAACACCTTTACGCACTGTTCCCGACACTTTGTAACCTGCAACGCAGAAAAACCCATCGGACACTGTGTAACTCAGCGGGTATCAAAAGGGTGCAGCGTTCAAGTAGAGTGGAAATAATATAAAATGGAACCTGTTTTCAACTGAAAATTTCTCTGGTCCAAATAAAAATGGCCCAGTGAACCAAAATTAAGGTAAATATTAAACCACTTTTCTGGTAACAGGGTCCAAAGGCTCTGATGGTTTCCCAAGTCCCATTTTATATATTTATTTGCCTTCCAACTAGAACATATATTATCTCCATTCAAATTCACCAAATGCATTGCGTTTAGATGAAAATATTTTCATTAGCATTTCATGTTCAAATATTACTGCCATTGTTCTCAGAGAGCGACATCAGAATTACAATTTCATGTTCCTTCGTCTTCGATGCTTTGAAATGCAAATAGGGGACAGACAAAAGGCACAGACAACTAAGGAAGAATAAACTGCAGAATCCAACGGACAGAAAACACGTTCCACTCACCTAGCAGAACGGATCCAGCGATTTCACACACCGTTCCCAAACAGCATGCCTGCCTGAGAGTGAGCACTTTTGATCCGACCGAAGTAGCAAATGAGTTCGGAACGCTGTTAGCTCCAATGCCAAATGCCAATATGAAGGCTATTATGAAACCGACGATGACAACCCACAGGACGTCAGTCGAATATGGGTCAATCATGATGAAAAGCTTGCGGATTCTTCACACAGCTCGTTGCAGAGACACTTCGATGTTCGTAACAGTTTATAAGAAGCAGTTTTCCCATTCCTGATATCCGTGCATTACGCTACCGTCGCTGTTGCAACTATGTAGTGTCACAGAACTTTTTCTTTGCTTGAAAACAGCGAACAACAAAACAAATTATTTTAACAGCGCCTGCCCGTCATTTTGACAGCAGAAAAATATAAAAGCCAGCTGAGACACTGATCGAATTCTTCGCTGGACAATGACCTCTCTCCTTCGTGACAGTCCCCGAGCGTCACCTGGAACACAGAGAAAAAAAATTCTGAATTTGCTTAAAACACTGAAAAAACTTCAAAGCTAGGATCGTCTTCAGGCTTCATGTTCTGTGTGTGTGCGTGTACATGGATTTATAACTGAATGATGGAGTCCGAACAATGCAGGGTTTGAGGATTTCACGGCGGCGAGTCTGAATTTGCTGTCTTCTGGGTCGTTAAATCGCCCTGATGATGGAAGCAAAATGGACCTCTGAAACGTTGGTGGACATCTACCAGACTACATGACACAACAACCCAGAATTATATTATGGATGTCATGGCGGTGTCGGATTAGAATATGTGAAAATACAATACAGGAAGTGAGCAAAATGAAAATAAGCAAGAGTTTTCAGAATTTAATCTCAGCTGAACTTCTTTGCAAATGTAACTGTGATTTGTTACTGTCATTACCACAAAAAATACTAAAAAATTTTTTTTACTAAAATGTAAGTTGTCAAAGGACAGCTGTTAATTATGAGAAAAATAGCAGCTCTAGTTGGAAGAAATCTTCAAAATGCACCAGGGGTGATGACAGTCCTCAGCTAGCGGATTCCTAACCTCGAAATAATGAGTTTCGGGGACAACGCCTTGCAACAAAACCTGAACCACTCGATGCTACTGCCAAAAGTGTCCTACATTTCTGACATTGTTGAAGGGTAAACTGAATTACGTAAGTTTAAATACTGACGGGGAATAATAACAGAGCTCGCGTGTTCAATATAAGTGCATGAAAGGCTCACGCCAGTTCTACAAACAAACGCGAAGTGGCTCGCCTTTGCACAATCCGAGACGCCGGGTCAACTTTCTTTTCGTTGTGAGTGTACGCACACAGAACAGAGCGCGGCCGAATATTTGTCGTCCCGGAACGGAGAGTCAGGCTGTGCAAAACACTTATTTTGTTTTCTCAAATCATCAACACAACAATGCAGTGCTTACTAAACTTATTTGTCACTCGAGTTGCCATTCGGATCCTACAACTGACGATGTGGCAACAACTCGCGCTCCTATGCACGGTTATAATCGGTAACGAAGGTTTGCCGAACGACTGAAATATATTAAACAGACTTAGAAAACTTTAATTACCTTCCACGCAATGTGGGCCTTCAAATATACCAGGACAATACTCGGGAAAAACTTGTAATGTGCATCGATCGGAATTCATTAAAATGTCTCAAACGACTGACTACTTGTTCCTAACTAAAACTGAAATGGCTCAACAAAAATGTGGCGTAAGTTTTTCATACCGAGTTCCGTCGAAATCGGTTTCGCAGTTTTCGGTGGCGGTGCCCGAATAACTGTGAGACGAGCATGATACCAACAGACGCACTTAAGACGTTTACACAAACTACTGAGGGTTGTAACTCCCTAAGCGCTATGGATAGCTCGAGTCGAGTTGCCTCGAAAGCAATGTCCCTGCATTTGTTTTCGAAAGTCAGTTTGAATGACCTCGAAATGTCGCCAAAACCAGTTTAAAATAACATTAATTTCCATAAAATTATTTCGAAAAATTAATTTAAAAAGTTCACAAACCTTTCCTTAATTTCGTTTCGCATTCTGATGTTGGCATTAATTAAAGTAGCATTACGATAGAAACGAACTGACCTTGTCTCACCACGGATTCTTGGACGATGCAAACTCCAAATTTGAGGTTTTCTGACAGACGATACAGCTCACATTATGTACGACTTTACAACGTAATAATCACACTTTGTCCTTCCTGTGATATCAAAAATCGTGAAACGCAATACTGACTTCTATCCACGAACCAGTCTGACGAAAACTAAAAATTATCCTTTCCTCAAACACCCACTCCTCACTCACACTTAATAGCTCGTTCGTGGAATTACCTTACCACAGGTAAACACGATGTTTTTCCCGCTGACGAAATAATATCTGGGTAAAATTTGAAATATAATGAGTAATAACGTTACCACACTCTCTCACTCCATCGTGCAGTGTTCTTTGAAACGTCGATTGTTACTCGGCTTTTCAAAGAACAGCCCACTTTGTTATGGAACCCGACTCTATCCTGACTTAGACGCAGGTAACAAAAGACAAAACTGTTACCAACTATGAAACGAAGGAACAGCCATCACGCTGCACGGCGAAAAATGAAATGATCTCGTGAACTAACAAGGAAAGGGAAACAATGCGCCGAACTGGAAAAACAAATGACGCACTGTCGACCGCATGAAACTGTTTTGCCATGGACTCTTACTGGCAAGACGGGACATGACACCGAGCATTTTTGCACTCTTGATTGACTGACAAACAAACAATGGCCAAACAACACACACACGTATTCAGACGAGCTCCGTGACCATTTAAAACATACAAAATTACTAATAAAGGTTTGTTTCAGTCATAACTATTTCCAAAAGTACAGAATTGCTCACGTTTGTTTAAGTCCCAAACAGGATGTTTTCAAAACTTGTTTCTAAGCACCAAAAAATGGCGACAGCTTAGGGTTACTGGAGGATGCTGAGTTAAGTTTAATTGGATTAACATTAACCATGCGCTCCATTAAGGGCACTGAAGAGAACATTTGGACCAAGAGACTGTGGCAAATTGTATAATACTGAGCTTCATAATTCGTACTCTTTGCAAACATTAGCATGACAAATTCGAGAAAGACGTAAAAGGCAAGGGATTTTATCGTATAATAGGGAGATAAGAAATGCATGCAAAATTTTGGTTGGAATGGCTAACGACAGGGTATTTGGAGCTCTAGGTGAACTTTCAGCCCAATGAGCTACCAATAATTAATATTATGCATGCGTATGAAAAAAATGCACTGACTGGTCACAATGTCGACCTCCTCACATGCTTACCAACCATTTATAAACAACATTTCAGGCGAGCTATGGTGCACACCCAGATTTTTGATTAATCAGAACTCTCACAAGGGACTGAAATTCGTGTTTGTAGGTTTAGAAAGTGATAATGCATATGGAACATCTAAATGACGTAACGTGTAATACTTACTGGTACATTAATTGGCCACATTTCCCACTGTAAAGAGTCTGAAGCCGACCGAGATGCCCGAGGACACATACAATTTCATGGGTGTTTGGTGGCGTGGGATGGGGGCAGCAGCAAAATGAGCACTTTATGAAGGAACGCAACAGTTTATACACTTTTCGTTTTGCCTCAAAAAGTGTTAATCACCTCTTTTATTTTCGTAATTACACATGTTACACGGAAAAAATTATCTTAAGAAATGTCAAGACATGTTACGAACTATGTACTTTATTTCCATGGCATAGTTCTGTATTTTAAAACAAATTAATTCCCTGTAATTAAAGTAATTTCAAAAGAAACCACGCTCCTACCTTCACATGAAGTGACGCACCGTTCTTATTCGCAGACCCCGAGCCAGTACAAATTATGAAGCAAGCACGCGCTTAACTTCACCACTTGGTGCGCAGATGGCAAGGGTTACCTAAAAATTCTGGTATTAATTCTTCATGCTTTTATCTTCTCTGTATCACGTCACCAGAACTCATCCTGTATTTTCGATTTGTATTCACAACTGGCAAGCGAATTCCAGTTTTGTCCGCACTGATACGCGGTTAACCGTTATGTTAAATTAATTTGAAATAAAATTCTACAAAATTCCTAATTCTGCAGAGAAACGGTACACGGTGCAATACGCGTCTTTAATTTGTAACACGCGCACATTAAGCGAAGTGTAAGAAAAATAATAATTAAGTGTATTACTTGTATTGTTAACATTTAGTATAATTCCACAACAAGAAAGCATCCACTGAATAGTTTCAGAGGAAAAAGGACGTATCACCTCCTGTAACATTTTATAAAAGCATTCTCAACGTACGTTCTCAGAACCTCTTGCCCTAGTCTGGCATCTTGAAGGTTCGCTGTAATCAACGGTACAGCAAAATGATACACAAAGGACATAAGTTGTAACTTCTAAAAGACTCAGCAATCCTTGATTGTCAGACTTTAGAGGTCAGAACTATACATGCCGCATTATTCAAGTTGTCGTTCATAAAACTAAGCTGATAAAAGAATTATATAATAAATTACAGATAAAACAAATTCTTGAATTGTTTGGCATTCATAACAAACACAGAGTCGGCAGAACCACACGGTTCGATGTTTCTAATACCAAGGCCCGCCACTGCACGGAATCCCGAGCCAGTTCCATCCACTTCCCATCATCACAACCTATTTCCGCAAGATAGGCCGCAATACAACGCCGTCATCTCCTTCTCAGTCTTCCAAGTGGACGTTTTTCGAGACGTTATTCCCAACAACCTTTCGTGCGTAATCTAACGTCAACAGTAGAGTCAGTACAAAGACGACAACTGGAGTCTATCATATCCTCAAACGCTGCACCGTCGTCAGTGACTGAAGCACATATTTTCCCCGCAAACTGTGTCAGCACTTAGAATGCATGGAGATCTCCCTCCACGACCACTGACATTTCACAGTGCCACCTCTCTTAGTATTGCAATTACTGCAGCACTGAGTAAACCAGATACTGGCACTGTTACCAACCACGCACCAACAATATTCCTGTGGAAACAACAATAAATAATTTCATTCAAGAAAAACTTAGGAATCAGAATTAACAGTTTTAAAATACGGTCAGTAGCTGAAAGCTGAGAAACATGTTTGTTACTCCATCTGACTCGGTGCAGAAGACCGCAGAGAAAACTCAAGACGAGGAGGTGCGGGAAGACAGAGACAGGCGGAGATGCTTGGTTGAAAGAGCACCCTCTTATAGCGGAAACATCTTAATAATAATAAGAGCCCTAAATGTCATCCGAGTGTTCATGCAATCTGACGCCGTGAATTAGGCCTATACAAACCAAATGAGAGGAAGGAATGAAGTGTACCAAGTCGCAAGACTCGCCTGAATAGTTTCCAGTCGACCCCTTCTTTCGTGGCATTGGCCCAGCCAACGAACACGACGGATCCGACCAAGCAGTGCGTGGTGCTGATGGGCATACCAATCTTTGAAGCCAGTAAGACGGTAAGTGCGGCCCCAATCTCTATCGTGAACCCTCTGGAATGTAAATTATAGCTCAAAGACAAGTAACGACTGTGCCAAACCTCAGCACCGGTATCAGCAGACAACCGGCGCATTATTTACCAGAGCAAAACTGATTCTGGAGGCCTGTATTATGTTAATGTAACATGTAAGTGATTGACACCTTTCTGCAGTCATGAAAGGAACACACAGCAATGAATAGCTATTAAATACCAAAATTCAACGTCAGAATATAAGAAATGCGAAGCGCGTGGTTTACTTCTGTTTGGACATGTACTCACGTGTAAGGTGTGATCTTCGTAAGGTCCTCACCTATGGTCTTCATCACCCTACGACCCCATACCCACACTCCAACAGTGATGCCAACACCTCCATAAAACAGAATGTAGATCGGCGTCTCTGCCTTCTGCTGCACAGATCCCTCGGTGTAGATCAGCCACAACGCGATCACTGGGCCGATGGCGTTACTGAAAGGAACAAGAAGCCACCGCTGTTCACTTCAGTACCATTAAGTTCGACAAGATCTGCGCTTCAACTCCGTAATTTTCAAACCGAAGCACGTCTATTTATCACTTCCATTAATGGAAATTAAGGAGCTTTTGAATTTGCAATAAAATGATACAAAGCTTATTTCTACCCAAAATTCTCAACTTTGGAAATTTTATATAATAAAAGTAAGAATTTAAGTTGTTTAAAAAGAAAGCAACATTCCATAAAGTGGTGTAGCTCCACGCGTTAACCTCAGCCCTGGACGCTGGTGAGTTAACAGCGTCATGCTTTGATTGCTGTACCCCTGGGGGGAGGGGGGAACATGTAAAAGTAATATTACATAAGAACTAAATGTCGCCATGGCAATTTATTTTGTAGTCCCAAGTCTGAGAGAATCATACCTGACATCATTTCCGCCATGAACAAATGAGGCAAAAGTGGCCGTGAGCACCTGAAGGAAGGAGAACAGCTTTAAAACCTCTGGTGGGTCCTCTTTTTCAACCTTTTCCACTTTTTTGGATCCCTCTTTCTCCTCCAAGGATGGCTCTTTTATTCTGTCATGAGAGGAGAGGCCTGCAATGCAAATATACAGCGTCACCTGGGACAAATCGACAAGAGTACGCAGCGGCAATATTTCATTGTAATTCCAACGCTACAAGATATGAAAACTCACTGAATGCTGGGTTGTCCTGTCCAAGAGTTATCACGGCTCCTGGAGGTACAGCAGCTTCCTGCAAAACACAGACATAACACGCATCTGAAAAACAATTGAAGTGTGTTCAGCAGCTTCCTGCAAAACACAGACATAATACACATCTGAAAAACAATTGAAGTGTGTTGTTTCAGACACAGTTAAGTTGACTTCCAGCTACAAAGGCAGACCATCATTCTATCAGCAGAAGGGAGAGTGCAGAACGAAGAATCGTAACAAGTAACGGAAAGACAATTATGAATTCTCTATTTCCTCCTCAAAAAATCAAGTGTTGTAATTACGCAGTGAAGCCACAGCAAATTTGGCAAACGTCAATACTAACCTCACTGTTAGTGGGTGGCGTAAGCATTATCTCATCTGTTTGAAGTGGGCCATCAGAGTTGTCGCTCAGGTGTCGTATCTTGATGCTGGTACTCGTCACCGTCCCATTGCCCGCCTCTGGACAGACTATGTCAGTCCTCTTCAAGCCATCAAACGTGACACCGCCTGTCGTGTTTTGCGTCGATCCCGCTTCTATAAATTACAATTTAACTTTGATATATAGACGAAAAAGTCAGCTGGAACAGTAAGAATCCTGTTTCAATAAAATATGTCGTCCGACAGACAAGCCACCGCACAAAGCCGGGTCTAATCACCAGTAGCCAGAGCAGCCGATGCGCCTCTAAACCCACTACTACTACAATTCTTCACGCGCGTATCACGTGGTATCATCCGCATCTTGCGCTGCTTCCCTTCCCCCTTCCTGAGAAGCCATCAGCTACCAATCAGTTTACTTCCGCTGCGGCACTTCACAGCCCCTTTATAACAATGAGCGGGTCAAATTTGAAGGAAGTCGCTAAAATATGACAAAGTTTACCTTCGATCTTCCTCTTCATGAACGGCACGACAAACAGCTGTACAACCAATATGGTCACTGCTGCAATGACGACGCTGAGAATCAGGGCGCCCCACCACGGAATCTTATCCAAATACAACACTGCAACAGAGTAAGAAATTCGTGCGGTACTGGGAATTCCTTGTGGAAGTTCCTTCGCTGTCTCCTAAGAGGAGAGGTGAAGCAATTAAGCACACCGGTACTGTAACGACATTCGCTTGGACTGAGTGATGGATTGTTACGTTAATTTAAGAATTACAGGCTGTACGTTACAGTACGGTGATGGCGTACCCCTTACCTTAATTGGTCATGCAGTTCTGAATTCTGATGCACAAGACCAGAGGCACCATTGTTCGAACAAACGTTTGTACAATGGGATCCGAGAGTTCCCATTTTTGCGCAACAATCACTTGTGATAACATTAGCGCAATAATGACCTCAGATCATATTTGTGCATCCTACGTGATGTGGAATGAAGAACACATATTGAATCTGGGCGCACTCCGCACGGCATGCCTTTCCGGCCTCGTCAATAACAACCGAGGATTGGGCCCTTGCCTGTCTTAGCTCCTCCATCTCTTTCTTGGTCATCTTCACTTTTGCCCAGTAATTCACGGCTTCTTTTGGGAATATTCTGTTTTTCCGTGGCACATGACCAGAGCATTTTGCTTTGTATTAAAATATTTTATCATATTCTGTAATCTGTTCAACCCTTGCCTGATTTTGTATTTTATTTAATCTTGCACACACTTTAACTGCTCTTTAAGATTTTCATCTCGGCACCCTGAATTTGATCAGTTTCTCGTTTAGTTTGTGCTCAATTTTGGTGAGCACTAAGAGAGAGAGAGAGAAAATGCTTTAGGACACATTACAACGCACTTACATGATGGACCATCATGGACGATGGAGAACACGTTGATGAAGACAGTCACACCATAGATGATGGGCAGACTCAGTAAACCTCGTACTATGGGATTAGGCGCGTTGAGGATGAAGTGACGAACCAGAGCAAACAGCGACACCGATATCACACCAGACAGCACCGGCGACAGGAACCAAGATCCCACTGCAAAGTAACCGGATGCAACTGCAGCTGACAGGACGAGAAGCCTCAAACTTCATCCAGACACACCAAGTACATGAACCTTGTGTAGCTTCTTAAATACTCAAAAAATTAAAAATACTACACGCTACACTTAGAGAAACTCCTGACATTAATGTCCCAGGTTACCTGCAATGTTTACAGTCACCAGATTTAACTGGGCTCCTACAAACAGAAACCCGTGGCAACGCGGACCTACCAATCAATCCAAGGACTCCCCAGTTGACGCCGTCATTCCCGCGGCAAACCAGAGAGAAACCAAGAGTGGCACCGACGATGCTGTGGGTGGCAGATATTGGAAGCTTCAGGAATGTTGCACCGAGCAGCATCACAGAGCTGCCAACTGCAAAAACGTAACTGTCTCAATATGTATCAGCACATCCCACTTTCTCTATAGTCAATTTAAATATTACTGTCACATTTTCAGGACTCAAGTTACTTTCCAAATGCCAGGACAAGATAAAGTGTGACGCAGTTCCTCTGCATCAGACTTTGTCCACTTTTAAGGTCCAGCACCTCGCTCACCTTAAAACTTCATTAATTTCACTGCTACTTCTTTCTGAAAGACCAGGATTTGTATCGACATGGACGACAATTTAAAGAACAAAACACTGCAGTCACCAGCACATACCCCAAGAATGACTCACGGGAAAAAAATAACTTTGTAATCATAATTATAAATGATTTAGCAAAATTATAGGAACACCAAAAATTCAGAACACACAGACGGAAGATTACATCAAAACATCCAATTCTGCAAGATATTACAGGCCTCACCCGCAATAACATGTTACATGCGCTTCAACTTTTCTTCACATCTGTAACGTGCCACTTACTCAAAGCCGCGAACATTCCGAGCATGAGCTCGAACTCGGCATCTTCGTAAAGTTTCACCTGCAAAATTCCTTTACGCACTGTATCAGCCACTTTGTACCCTGCAACACAAAATTACAACCCGTGAATGTCTCGAGATGGCACGACAGACACCGAGCAAGGCGTACTGAAACTTGACAGCGCATTTCTCCACCTACTTTTTCAAAACACTCGAGATAAAGGATGTACAAAAATTTTGAGGGAAGAACACAGATTTTTCAGATAGGACGTGCGTTCCACTCACCTAGCAGCACAGATCCGGCGATTTCAAACACCGTTGCCAAGCAACACGCCTGCTTTGCAGTGAGCACCTTTGATCCGACCGAAGTACCAAATGAGTTGGCGACATCATTGGCTCCAATGCCAAATGCCAATATGAAGGCTATTATGAAACCCACGATGACAACCCACAGGACGTCAGTCGAATATGGGTCAATCATGATGAAAAGCTTGCGGATTCTTCACACCTCAATGTTCGTAACAGTTCATAAGAAGCAGAGTTCCCATTCCTGATATCCACGCATTACGCTACCGTCCCTGTTGCAACTATGTAGTGTCACAGAACTTTTTCTTTGCTTGAAAACAGCGAACAACAAAACAAATTATTTTAACAGCGCCTGCCCGTCATTTTGACAGCAGAAAAATATAAAAGCCAACTGAGACACTGATCGAATTCTACGCTGGACAATGACCTCTCTCCTTCGTGACAGTCCCCGGGCGTCACCTGGAACACAGAAAAAAAAATTCTGAATTTGCTTAAAACACTGCAAAAACTTCAAAGCTAGGATCGTCTTCGGGCTTCACGTTTCGACCAAGTAAAACAGCATCAGCTCCAACTGGCGACTAACGAGCTTCAAAATGCACCGCTGATAATAAACAATTAGGAAAAATTACGCGAATGTAAACTTTTGTGACCAACTGCAGCAGCTGCCTTCAGAAAGTGGGGAAGACCCCAACAAAATTCCGATCAGGAAAGCCAGTCTAGACCAGGACACGGCCTCTGTCGTTCTGAACGCAGAGCAACCTGACTTTCACTCTTCCGCCAACTGCAAATCTACATTTTCACCTGTCGTCATTGAGGCCTCAATGGGGAATAGTAAGTTAAAACAAGCCACGGCCACTTCCACTACAATGCGTCCAAAATCCTGCAACGCTGTCGTTTTAATATCATTCAGCAGGTGATAGGCGTTCTTTGCGGAGTTCCAATGTGACAGGCCGAGTGTCCATCGTACAATACGACTATCACGAAGTTCTTTTTACAAGGATTTCTTTTTCTTAAATAAACACCACCCCCCCGAAGCCTTAAAACAAAACAGAATCTCGCAGCGAAATAGCCATTTCCCAGTTCAATCGCTTTTGGTTTATTTTGTCTGAATAATAAGGACCACGAAGATATTTATACTGTGATCCTCATACAAGCCGCCGTGGGAACCTGAAATCTCACCAATATGCAGCAGTCAACATGGCACAATGTCTCTGAACGCGTCAGACGTTAGACAATTAAAACCATTTTTTTTCAACATGCCAAAATACACAATTTTTTATCGTATAAAAATTTAACATTTTTGTGGGAAATAAGCTTTTTCACTATCAGGAATGAATTTGCCGCGTAAATGTTACTTTCTCAACACAACACGAAATACAATCAAATTCGTTGTGGCAAAACATCGCAAAATGCCTTTCGGCACGTAAATTATCCGCTAGTTTTCGCCATTACAGCCGACGGATATTCGAGTGCAGTCACTCACCGTATTTCGCACCGAGCTGCCAACGTCTTGTCCCACGAAGAGCCACCAGTCCTCACTTATGAGACTGCGACGACAACAACAAATTATTCTCTCGTTTGCCAACACGTGCTAAGTGGCCTTTTCAACAGAAATGAACCATGCAGCAGTCTTTGTGCGCGCTAAATGGGTCAGCACCGCCACGCATGTCCTGAGCAACAGGTTCTGATTCGCCGACCGGTCGAGCAACAAATGTTTTCTTATTCTTTTCGCAAAGACCGGTGAAGTACAGCGCAAATCTGATCACGTCCGAACATGCGTAATTCATGTGGCATTTCCGTGGCTGTGATCTTGCAAAAACCTTCCGCTAGACTGCTCAATCGCGGAAAAACCCAGAAATAAAAAGGACTTTACAGAAAACCTCCCAACTTAGGTAAATGCTGTTATCTCTAACATACCCGAGCCAAGATTAAAATGGATCTCAAGGCATTGAAGTCTGAAACGGTGGACTTAATTCATCAGTAACAACATTTCAGACAGATCGAGTGCCATCTCGTTTCGTACTGTCGAAGCAAAGCGGCAGATAACAGCGCCAACAAAAGAAATTCCTCGTAAATTGCCTGATTCTCAACCAACAGCGAGGTAGTGGCAACAATACGCAATTTAACATAGGTCGAAACAATAGCAGGCCATTCGTCTGTGAGACTGACACTACAACAATGTCGTGTTTAAAGAACGGAACTGTTTCATTAGCACAACAATCAGCCCTTAACGAGGCATACGAAATAAAACAAAAGACGGGGGGGAATGGGGAATCACGCGGTATGTTATGACACACATTCGCCAACTCGAGGCCCCCGTACCATTGTTTGGTACCAACATTACGAACGTTACATTACTCGCGGGAAAGAAAACTGCAAATGGTTTGCATTCTGAGACAGCTCAGCTCACACGGTGATTTACGAGCACCCATTTTAATATTATACCGCCCCATTCATGCGGTGGTCTCCCAAACGACACTTTTAGCTGCCCCTTAAAATGCCTCCATGCCAACGAAGCTGAAGGTCCGCGTAATCCAGTCAGGCATAAATTAACTGACATTCCAAGAGGAGCTTAGTGTCTCAACCACAGAGGCAGTAAGCACCTCCGAAACGTCAGTCCATTTCTACGAGACTACGTGCCCCGACACTCCAGAAGTCATCTTCATAGAGGAGACGAACTTATTAAATCAGGCCTCTTTCTAACGAGTGCGTCCAGACGTGGACACGGTTCAGAAATTTTCTTTGCGGAATGTTTGCAAGCAGGATTCAGGTTGCCGCTCAACGACCAGCCAAATGAGCAAGGTCAGCGGCTTAAGGCACGGCAGGGGCAGTCCCCGCTGGCACTTTCCGGGAAAGGACGAGGAAGGTTGCATGAGGTCGTGGCAGCATGCGTCATGCGAGACCGCAGCTACGGAATACCAACCACTGTTGTCGAAACATCTGAAGTAACTCATCCGTAACATATGCAAATAGGCTAAAAGTTAGGAGACGTGAGATTTGAAATGCTGATCGCAGTTTTATCATCGTCCTGATGATGGAAGGAGCAGATGCGAAACACTAAGATACGTCTTGAAACAGTACCTATACAATGTTTCACAGCAAAATACCCTAAAAGTCCATGGAGCATCACAACACGGAAATTGTACAACAATGCAGTGACAGGAACGAACATTTAAATGTGTTCATATCAGTTAAATACACCAACAAATAATCCTAAATCTGTGCAGTACTTGGCAACAATGCGAAAAGTCAGAATGACCACAAGAACGAATTAAAATTTCGTAAACTCCTGTTTCTACTCAGCTCAGAACATCTCGCCACTGCTTCCCGTCGATAAACACAAATACAGAATAACGCAAAGAATGCCAACATATTCTACGAGCCAATTAGATTAAAAAGGTGTTTCTTGAACACCAAAATGGGCCTTACCCATGTTCACAAACATTTTGACCATTTTAATGTTTAAAGACTTCCAACGGTATTCTGTTCACAATTTCACGACTACCAGTGAACCAGTTGAAATTCTGTTGCTGCGACAAACCCATACAGAAACGCGATTAAACAATGCAGGGACATGAAGACAAGAAACTGAGAATTGGCACGGCGCTTACGTTAGTAACGCAATTTGACATCTCTTCTCTCCACAAAAGTTAGTTACAAGAACTCGTAATACATATTTTGCATTTCTAAATAACTTACCAGAGATGAAACTCCCTAGCTACAGCAGTAATGGCAAAAATGAATCTTCAATGAGCTCAAAAATGATTCCATGGAGTTCTCAGGTGATGAACGCATCATTCATCTGCAGAGGCCTCTCTTCTGAACAAGCATCACTGCTGCGAACACAGCTTTCACGTTTCTTAAAACAAAACACTCCTGTAGGCACAAATCGCTTACTTTGATATTAAAATAGAGACATAACTCTGACATGCAACTTTCCCTGGCACAAGACTTTTTGTTCTAGACACTGAACATTCTCCTTGACATGTTCCAAACATCACAGGCACGAGCCTCCAGCTGATACACAACCTCAAAAAATCTAATGACAAAGTGAACTTTCAAGGAACCATGTGAATTATAAACTGAACTGCACAAGAACACCAATTTCTGAGCTCAGGTGACACATCGAGACGCACACACGATAGAAATATATACAAAAAAACTTTTCATATCAAATATATTTTACAATTAACCTTTCTGCTTATGACGCCTCCAATGAAACCAACAAACACAAGAAGTGTTGTAGTGACAACAATCTTTGTTACCAACTTCAGTTCAAGAACAACTTTGTATTACTCAATCAATCAAAGTGACTCACCTTAAGCCCAACTGCTGAGAAGAGTCGTCAGTCACTTCTTTCTGCCGACATACGAGGCTAATTCCAAATTTGAGCCTAAACGAGGAACAGAAAATTGACACCATATATGCACACTTTGCTATATACACATCAACGTTAAGTATCCTCTCATCAACAAAAAAACATGTTACAAGGACGAGCTCTGTAAAAGCCAGAATAAATGTCAGGTTAGGTACCAATTTCACACGTGGCTTAAAACAACAGCATTTTAGTACCACATCTGAACAAAGGAAGAACTACTCCATACCAACCTTTCTTCAAAACCTAGAATCCGGTTTTAACGGAACGTGGCAAGAAAATCAATGCTAAATTCCTGTCTTCTGGGTTGTTGCGCTGTGTAGTCTGTTAGCTAACATCGACCAGACTACACAGCGCAACCCAGAAGACAGGAATCTTCATACTCACCGCTGCGGAAACCTCAAATCTTACAAATCAATTCTAAATTTGTAAATATTCAAGATCTTTTATATACGTGTATATCTCGGAGAGAGCAGATTCCTACAAAATGTAACCAAAGTGGATGAACGGAAGGAAGTGTTCCTTTACACTCCAGCGTAAGAAACAAACACCATCTGTCAGCCACACCTTTAATCACCCCGATACAGCAACAACCTTGGGTCTGGCTGTTCCTTTGATACCATTGATGGATTTGCCATTCCCTTTGGTGCCCTGCTGACTTCTTCACCTGTGATGTGGCATAAGGAGCACCTCTGGAATTTTAATATACATTTTTCCAGTCTTATTAAAGCTGTAATCCTGTTGCAAAAAAAATGGCAGAACATGTGACATGCCAGGTGATTGAACGTAAATGTAAATGTACAAACAGTAATTAAACAGAGAACAGTAATGTGAGCTCAATTAGAAGCTACCCATTTCACACATCCATCTACATCAAATGTACCCAGCAACAGGACGAGCGACTCGGAATCTTGACAGTACCTCTGAGGAGCCGTGACACTGCCTCTGAACGCCACGCTGCAGCACACATCAAATCAGGAGACCTGGGAGTGTATCACTTCTTCTCGAGGATAACCGGACACTAAATTCACAACCCCGTCTCCTTTTTCGAGACGAGAGATAAATCATTCGCCAATAAAGTAACAGTCTCTCACGCATTATGCCGTCACAAGTACGACCAAGGGTAGAGCAACAATCCTTAAAAAAGAAAGGCGCTGTCACCCAGGAGGATAGTGTGGGAGAGGCTAAGAACAATCACAGAGGCAAAATGTAATTTCCACATTTTATTCTGGGAATGGGGAGACCAATTGACATATTTAAAATACTGTAACAATAAGTAATAGAGACTCAAGGTTGTAAATATTTTTTTGCACAGACATATAATACATAACTGTAAGGCCAAATGCTTCAACATTTCATTTAAAAAAATTCTTTCTTAAGCACTAACAAACAGTTTTCTGCACTAACCAGACGTCCTTCTTTTAAGTACTTAATTATTTCAATATCATCTTTCAGTAAAACCAGGTCTGGTTCATAAACATTTAAGAAATTGCTAAAATAGCGTAACATTCGAGCACATAGTTACGACGATAATACAATAAAACATCCGCACAACAAGAAATCTCAGGTAACAGCACCAAATATCCGTCACTTACCGTATATCAACTATTTTAAGACAGAAAGCACGTACCTTGGATAAATGTTCCAGCCCGCGACACCTCACATACTCAGCAAATAATCATCCATTCATTTTATACCTTTATCAAAGTAAAATCCAACTGTAGACTTTGCATGGCAGCCATTGTTTTACATTGTACAAGGAGAAGAGGTTACGTATGTTTCAAAGATATATCAAAGATAATCAAAATTTCAAGATTTCAGGTTCTGACGGCAGCAAGCATGAGGAGAGCCGTGTTCTAGGTTCTAGTGCAGAAGTTTATGGACTTTTCAGAGGTACTTCCTACCTCCATCGCCACCCTGTTGATGCGAGGTTATCAAATACCTCTGAAATGTCAGTAAACTTCTACCAGAACCCAGAAGACAGCCATCTTTAAAATTTCAGAACCATACATTAAATATTGCTAGTCACTTGCGTTCACGTGGCCATAATACTGGCAATGCTGAAGGCAGGCAGGAATTAAAAATGTACAAAGATAGGCTGAAAAGTACACAGTACTTAGACATTAATACAGTATGATTGAACCACCATTTTCCTGTGACAGATGCTGTGCAGGTATTTTACTGTATTACCATTCAAACACTTATAATGAGCAACTAATGTTTTATTTTTCACAACGGCGAGGACAGGACCAATTCATCAGAATTATCCCCACATCTTTCTGCTCTATGTACACACCACTGGACCATGTAGTAAAATATGCACATTTAACATACAAGTTACTGTCACTGTTTTCATATTGCTAATTACATATGTATGGGCACAATCCAAAATACTGTTACAACTTGAACCAACGAAAGAAAACCTCGAGAACATGACTTAAAACCTGGTTACAACTGGCACATCACTTACGGCAACTAAAAGATTACTATAACCTCATGCAAATGTAAGAAATTTTGCATCTGCATTTCCTTCTTATGAAAAACTTTCTCTCTTGAACAGCTGTCATACAAAATGGCAGGTACGACTGGCCACAACTGCAGTGAGCGCTACGAAATGCAGACTGACATGTCAGGTGACCAGGAAACTCAAATCGTTACTGTTTGCTCGATATGCAAGTAGACTTTGTACTTGCGGTTCATGACTTCCTATCAGACAGAAAGTGTCGCGTATTTTCCCTTTGCTGCTGGCTTTATAGCACGACTCGGCTACTGTAGTTCACAACTCTTGTTGGTGGAAAATCAGAAACAGCGCGCATACAGTGACTTGCAAGACCTCGTTTCACAAAATTATTTCAAAGTCCATTGTGTGGATTAATCACAATGAACAGACAGTTTCAGTTTTCTTAACAGCACTTCCACTGCTCTTACATCACGTTCTTCTGTTCTTGGCCAGTTCTACATAGTAAGCAAGAAACAGTTATAACCAAATCTCATGTCAGTAAATAGTTTATACTAACCTATTTTCAAGACGTTTAAACCCGAAGTAATCAGAAACTGCGTAGACATAATTAAACATGACTACAAATTAATAGGAATATAAATTTTGGACGAGATAACTTCATTGTGCGCTATATGTATTAAAAAATAAATTTACAAAATAACAAAGATGAAAGTACTTTATATGCCCTGAAATGCATATTGTTTATAAAAAAATTTGTTTCCTTAAAAAAAAGTACAAATATGCCTTGATTTAGATGTTCAGGCATGTTTGCATGTCACACATGGCTAAACCTCCCATGACACTAAAACATTCAAATAGCTTCGTAGTGGAAATGGAAACAGTTAACAGATCATCGGGCTGTCTACAATATTGTGACAAAGCCTGGCCTACAGTCTTGCGGTTACACACACCAACATTTGTCAACAGGAGAGTAACGAAAAGCACAGCAGACTTTACGAATTCCTCTGCAGGAAATCTAATTCACTCTCTTGATACGATACTCCTCGAGCGATGCCGACTGCTCAAGACACATGCAACAGCAGCGTGCAATCTTGTTGCTCCCTACAAAAATTAGACCACTGCCATCTCAGAGGAGCCCGTCAAACCCTCCATTCATTCAAACCATCTAAACTACATGAGTAGCACATCTGTTTTTGATAAGATGTCATCTCAGCCACAGACTGAACCCAGTTCTCCCGCTTACAATTCTTTGTCATGCCTTCTTTCACATTTACACAATGTTCAAACTAAAATAACACAACGCCATTTCTCAGTTCCACACGACATGTTGTGGGCAAGATAAACTGACATCAACATACGAATGATCGCACGATAAAACACGGTAGTTTCAGGGGACATGGAAAGCAATGAGAGACAAAGTGTCGATCAAGCCAGGCAACAAATTTGGGTCACCATACAAAGGGAAGGAAGATTTCTGCCGCAGCAAAATGAGATGTTCATCGAATGTAAAGAAATAGGAAGTTCGTCAACATCGGCACACTCATATCACAGAGCAGTAAAATCAGTACCGTGTGTTGAGGACAGATTTCAACTGCAGTGTTGTGCCTTACTTCCCCAAAAAACAGAGACATCATGTAAAAGCTGAGAATGTCTCCACAAAACGAATAATTAACTACACTACACACCTGAATGACATGACAAAATCCTACCAACAGGGGAGCACCAAGGGGAAGACGGTGCGAGATATTGGCATCTGATCAGACTCTAGGAAGGCCAAGATATCTGCATTGCCAGGGGGAATGGACCAAACACACAAAAATCTGCTTCTAGATATAAACTCTGGGCCTCAAAACAAAACTATTGCATCTCACTTCAAGTCCTCTCATTTCAGCAGCAGCAGAAAATTTAAGAAAAGAACAGCTTCACTTAATGCCTCACATCTGGCACACGCCTACCAGGACGTAATTTCTGCTTGCCATAATGACACTTCTGAACGCATGACATTCATAAACATGAAGTTTACATTAAAAGCAAGCGGCAAATGTCATTCTGGCCTGTCTTAAGTTCAATCCCTTACATGCAAAAGGGCAAGCATTTTTCTTTTATTGTTACACACCCAAACTAAAAAATGTTTCATATGAACGATATGAGGTCTTAACCCATTAACTGCTGGCAAGGAGCACAGGTTCAGAGCATTGTGCACTGATCAAAAAAAAAAAAAGGAGGATGCTCAGGCATAATTTCTTTACGGCAATTTTTTGGGTCACTTCAGATTGCGTTGTTTCGGAAATTATGCGAAGATAACGGGAAGACTCGTTTCACTCAGAATCTGCTGCCAGAAATTATCTTTGCTAACATAACAGATGACGTATCACTTATATGATTCAGACGATACAAAATTACTACAGATGGCAGAAGTTGCCAGTGAGTTACGCACATCATCTTTTTACAAGTCAAGGCATCCATAATAAAAAGGCAAAGTGCCTGATGTCTTAACATTTCTAGCAGAAACAGAAAGGGACGATGGGGCCGCGACATGTCCGACATATCACGCAAGGCGTGAATGGGGAAACGACATAAAAGTTTCACGCTGTGTGCAATGTTCTGTACACATAGCTAATCCATAAATTTGTCTGTCCACTCACTTCAGTCAAAGTACACGTTCTGGGTCTCTGAATCATGTACAGTTTCACCCGACAGATGACAGAAACAGACTAGCCCTCTGAAAACACTGTATTAACTTTTTTACACAGAAACATATGGAAGGCTGGAACTGCCAATGTGAGAAGTAACATGTCTTAAGGTCAGGGTGAATAGCAAACTGAAGCTAGTAAGACATTGCACACCAAAATTTAAATAGAAAAAGAGAATGACTTACACAATAACAGTCAAAATGGTGCAGCTATACAATATTAAACATAGTGGCCCAAAGGTTAAGACGACATGCCTCTCTTCAGCCCGTGCTCCCAACCGTGTGGCAGGCAAGAATTCAGAGGGTATTGACCCATCCTTATGTGCACATTCATAACAAATATTGTATTTATTTAAATAACTGTTATAGCACCAGTACCAAGAATGTATTCTGTTACCTCATCACCTGCCCTCCAACACATAATCGCTTCAGGATGCACTCATAAAAACACGTGGCTATAAAAATTTTAATGCAAAATAAAAAAAGGTGACCATTTTTGGATCACACTTGCTCCTTCACGGAAGCCGCCATTTCAAAATAATCACTGACAAAAATTGAGTCATCATTCACCGCACACTGGAAACACAAACATCACTCACATGACAGCAGCGCAAAGAAACAAGCAACATATGGTGGAAGTTGTTTTAATCAATACCTGTGCACGTGAAACCATCCCAACAAGCAAGCACTAACTCGGTTTGTTAGGGCAGTATTGCTTTCACCCCCCCCCCTCCCCCCCAAAGCCTCTCGGACTGCTGCTGATGCATTCAACTTAACTACTATTATTACAACGTGATGAACGATGACACATGATGCGTACTAAGAGCGTTACCTTTGCTTCAGTCTCTCAGCCAAGGCTGAGGCAGGCCTAGAGGGCAACGGCTCTCAGTATGACCATCGTGAGAGCGCTGAGTCCAGCAGCAATTGGCACTGTTACCACCCATGCAAAAATGATGTTCCTTAGGGGAAAAAATCAACAGTAAGAAACATTGACAGTTTTGAACCTCTCACATGCACACACACAGAATCATGTGGCCATTATTATCTGGACACGGTCCTTTTGAATGAGATACAGCGGATATGCCTCAGACAGTGGACAGCATTCAACATAATATTTGAAAAAGAATAAAAAATTGTCACATGGCTTTAGTATAACATGTAGTTTCTATGCGCTACAAACTGGTCTTCTAATATGCCGATTTCAACTCAGTGAAAGATGCAACATGACTGAAAATAAGAAACGCAGTTGAAGTAGGAGCATAAGACTTCTTTACTCTTTATATTTCTCCTCAAAAACAAAAACACACTCCGTATTAACGTAATGCTCTACACAAACACAAAACAAGGATTAAAAGAACTTGTCAAGGCTACATATTTTAATGGCCTGAAGGATCAGATCATAACACACACAAACATGAACGCCATTCCTGAGATCACACTCTCACATGGATGTCATCATGTGGCAGAAAAGCAGGTTATGGGAAGAGAACAGGGACCTAAAAAATAATGGTGAAGATGGTACAAAGAGAATGAAACACTGAACAGTGGAGAAGCTGTGGACAGACATCATGTATCATGTGAGACAACAGATCTTTAGTCAGAATGCTTTCAATGTCACTAATTTCAGGTTAGAGATGAACTAACCTCCCCCACTGGACTACAAGAAGTAAGAAAAGTTTCAGAATATCAATTACTCATCTGCTTTTAGTACCTGAAGAGTTTCCAGTCAACTCCTTGTTTGGAAGAACTGGCCCAGCCCACAAACACTACAGATCCAACCTTGCAGTGCGTTGTGCTGATGGGAATGCCAATTTTTGAGGCCAGCAGGACTGTGAATGCGGCACCTATCTCTATTGTGAACCCTCTGAAACGAGAAACATCGCCGCAATGTTGACATTTACCCGAATCAGTATAACTACAATCTGTCAGTTTTGGAAATACTGTCTTTATGGTGAGCATCACCAAGCTGCTTAGACAACGTATTCAGAAGTCACCTGTCTCACTGTGAGACAGGGCACTGGCTGTCTTTACTGAAGTGTTGCGTGGTGAAACATCACAACCATCCCTCCTTGTATGAGATCCGAGTTTCTTAGTGGTGAAGACATCCATGTTGGTCGTATGGATTTGAACATGGTGACAAAACCAGGAGACCACAATGACCTCAAATATAAAATAAACTTAATTAACTGACGAATGAGTTGTTTTGGAAATGAAACATGGACAGACAGTAGACATAACTCCACTATGAATAAACATTATAAAATATGTATAAAAAACACAAACAATAATTGGGCAGTCAAAATTATAGAGAGACATAGAATCTTATTAAGCCAAAATACATTCCAAGAGACGCTCCGCAGTTTGTGCAGAATCTGGACACCATATGTTCGCGCATCCTCACCATTTATCTACATGTTAACTGACTCACGTGGAAGATGTGATCTTCGTGAGATCCTCTCCTATTGTCTGAATCACCCTGCGGCCCCACATCCACAACCCAATGGAGATGCCGAGGCCCCCGTACAACAAGATGTAGACGGGCGTCTCTGACTGCTGCTGCACAGAGCCCTCCTTATAGATCAGCCACAACGCTATCAGTGGGCCAATAGCATTGCTGCAACCACAGACAAAACAGTCACCTCAAAACACAATGGATCACAGAAAAGAACAGAGGAACCTCTCGGGGCTACCACATACTGGACAAGTTTTTTTATTTATTTATTCTTCATTTATTGAATACTTTCAACTTCATCACATGATGGGAAGAATAAAAAGAAGTGAATAATAAACTCAAAATTATGTGACAGAAAGAGATTTCATCCCAGGATGTCTTGGGTGTGAACCACTTGATTATGATAATCTGTTGTACTACTGGAATGGTGGCACATTATTTTATTTGGAATAAAAATTCTTTCCTTGACTTGATACTGATCACGAAAATATTGCAACTGTTCCAGTTAACACCACGATTTGTACCATGTCTGATCCCATAAAAAATCACTGACAACTACAAACTCACAAATGTACCACTATGATTTGTGACTACCAATAAATTTATAAATTAAATTAAGAATGTTTAAATAAATCTGAAAAGGTGCTTGCAATGTTCACCACAAACACCTGATCAAATATTAAAAAAACATCTTAATATGGATTACAAATTCCAGGATTAGATACAGAAAATGCCTGACCACACGTTCCTCACCTGATCTCTTCCGAGGCTTAATCAGTGAGGCATGTTTAGGGTTATTAACAACGCACTTTATTATCATGGCAAAAAGTTCAGTCATGCAGGTCAACTGAAAGTAATACCTGACATCATTTCCTCCATGCGCAAATGATCCAAAGGTGGCAGTCAAGATCTGCAGGAAGGAAAACAGTTTTGCAACCTCTGGAGGGTCTTCCTTCTCTACCTCCTCTATTTTTGAAGCAGCTGCTTCAGGATCAAACTTGTCATCTCTTACACGTTCTTTAATTAGAGGCACTGCACTACTATTAGGGGAGAGACCTGCAAGAAAGAGGCCTCATTACTGAGCGAAAATCTGCCTGAAACAGGACTCAAATATTCCGTACTGAATACTTGACCAAATACACAAACGACTTCAATGGATTCAACGCACACTTTTTTGTGCACCAAAAGCCAACCTACACCCACTACAGCACCAGCATTTAAGCAGTATTAAACACATTCACTGAAGATACACACGTTTAAAACAGCTGGTATGATGGAAGCACAGTATCGGTATACTTCGGTGGATTTTGCTGGCAAAACTGAGCAACACATTTTAAATCCAAAATTATACGCAGGTCAGTGTTCACATATTCTTACAAAAAAAGTAAACAAACAGGGTAAAGTGTGGTCCTCAGAGTTATATGAAAATGTTAGTGACATCATCCTCCAAAACGTAGGTCACCACCTACAAAAAACACAAACCCAGAAGGCCACAGACCCCAATTTCAATGTCACAAGAACTTCAAATCTCAAATACAGCATCCAAGAAATAACGTGGTAATTACTCCACACACAAATGGAAACATTCACAACATGGTGAACGCCAAAAGCCTTACCAAGCACAGGCGTAACCTGGCCACTTCCCGGCCGCAGCGGATCAGGGAGAAGCTGCTGCTTCTGTGGCTGCACACTGCCATTTCCAGGCATGGACATTATCAGATTCTCAGCATCAATGGAAGAGGCAGAGTCCTGACAAACAAAAGTAAACGTCATCAACACTTTAAGCACACCGACTGCGTCACTACAGCACGAAGCGGTATGTCTGCCTACATGCATGTTGCATCTTCAGAACTAATGAACACATTTTTATTAAATTCTGATAATGAAAGTCTGCATAAAATGTGTAAGCAAGAATCCATTTTGATCCATATCAGACAAATACAACACTTACTTAACATCAGAGCTCAAAGCAAACTTCAATTTTCTCAAAAGTGCTTCATCAGAAAAAGTATGTGGAATAAACCACAAATTTCAACAAGATTTTAAAAATTCTATTAGAAACATACTTCAGTTTTGTGAACAATTCGTTAAGTACATGGAAAAATAATTTCTGAGTCAGGAGCGTAAAAAAGTATAATGTGATTACCTTTGTAATAACAAACGAGGTACATAAAATAATGAAGAATATGCATAATCCAATATGTGTACTCTTCTCCAATTTATCCTACATCTGCCCAGCGTAATTCATTTACATTCTAAAGGTTTTGTAAAACTCTACTGTCCACACGCAAATACAACATTCGTCGTCGGTGAACTAATAAACGTAATCCACGCTTGCAAGTTATACAATACTACCTTGTTATTTGAGGAGTTGAGAGTTGTTTCAGCCAGCAGGTAGCCATTTGACTTCGTTGTGGCAATGTTTGTCTGTGGGATTGGAAAGCAATAGGTGTGGTTGGCACCCTTGTTCGTCCCATTTGTCGAGACAACAGGAGGAAACTGCACCATCTCATTGTTGTCACTCAGTGCCAACACTTGTTTCTCCTGTTCGCACGTCTCGGTTATAACCGGCAGCGTCTTCTTCATATCGTCTGTTGAAATGGCTCGAGAAGTCTTCGGGCTTGGGTCCCGTGAAGATTCTGCATTACAACACCACACACATGAAAGTTAACTACTAACAATGCACACCTTGAAATGGCTTTCCACAATACTCTGATACAAGGCTAAAATGCACAGCTCAAAGAAATCATTATATTTCAACAAAACACCTGGAACTTCATTTGCAGGAAAAAAACTCAGAATGCCAGACACATTAAGACAAATAAAACAAACTGAAATTTTAATGTCATAATGGCTCGGCACATACACAGGTCACAAACACCCTGAGTGTCGGGTTGGTCTGGCGCTGACACGCCTGTGCTCACTACCCTGACAAGACAGAGACACTTGCGATTCAAACCTGTGTAATCCCCACGCAAGGCGACGGTCAGATCCGTTACAACACATTTACTAAAATTAAATTTTGTAAATTAATCTCCAAACATGGAATATTCCAGGTACATATTATATGAAACTCTCCATGCGAGAAAATTTTCCTTTAATTTCGTGGTTACACAAAGAGTACGGTTAAAAGTGATCACAACATGGGTCCCCAGAAAGTCACAGCCCAAGACTGTTTTCAGTCTTACACAAAAGCTTATTAATGCCTTCATTCTTAGGTTAGGATAACTTAATTTAGTATAAAAGGCATGATAACATAACCTGCACCAACTCCGCAACGGCCATGGATCACCATTATACTGGTATTAAATATTCCACAATCACCAAAGTATATGCCTTTTACGTTTTATAGCATCTAAATGTTCAGTACTAGCAAGTGTAGGGGATGAAAGTAATTAACACAAATGAAAATTATTGAATTTCTTAAAAACAAATCTTTGTACATTTATCTGTGGAAGCTGAAGTTCTGAGACATCAGATATTAGTTCCTAATCTTAAACAATAAGAAAGAGTGAAATCGGGTTCTAATTAAATTCACATTTGCCATACGAGTCACAATTTTATCGCAGAAAGCCATTTCATTGAAAGTAAGGTAACAAAGTATTTCTGCTGTCTGCATTTGAAATTCTGCTTGAACCTCGTACTTTCATCTCATTTATAAAGGTGTACACTTACATGAACGCTGCCAACTGCAGAATACATTACTGGGACCAGTTCATTTACATGTGTACCAACCAAGTAATTGATGCCAACATTCTATCTGCTGGAGTAACATAACCCTCAAATGGGCAAACTACTAGGACTTCATTACTACCAAAAAATACATATAAATTATCGTAAGTTCCAGTGAGAACAACAAATTAAAACTATAAAGCATTTCAGACAAATTGATATTAAAAATAAATATTGAAAATTTCCAATTACTGCTGTTAAGATAAAAAGAATGCTTTCATACTGAATATGAAATAAAAATAGCTTGTTTGTATTTGAAAACAAAAAATACAGTACAGGCTCTGTGAAATGTCGGCCTCTTACTCTAAAATGTACACTATTACCACTAATGTAGAATTTTCATTTAATCCAAAAAAATGAAGTGAAAAATCTGGAAAATACAGGATGCACCTGATAATCAAATGGTCTGCCAACATTTGTATGGCAATGTTAATGCACCCAAAACATCAAATTATGGAAATAATGGCAAACCATAAATAATAAGCTGGGTATATATCCAGATTTATTTTTAATGATCAGTATATGAACAATATTAAGATGAAATAAGTGATAATGTACATGCTGGAAATGTATGTAATAAATGATTGACAGAAGAAGATGCTATGAAGCACTGCCTCACTTGATTCATCTAACATTCACGAAACTCAAAATGAGAATAGGGACTACAAAATGTTGCCAACATTAATTAAATTTCATGAGTAAAATTCCCACTGTAACTTAAAAACGTAAGATGTATGAAACACTGTACTAAGGGTGCAACTGCCACACAAATGCTGCACTGCACAGCCAATGGGGGAAGTGGAAGTGGTAGTAGCAGCAGCAGCAGCACGATTAACGCATTCTCCAGCATGCTCAATTGCCATAGCAACGTAACATAATACCTTACCCTAGGCATGCAATTTCATGTGATGCAGACAAGTCCTGTTGCACAAAGTGTGCTAGAAACTTGTTTCTGCCATCACATCAGGGTGAGAAGTGATTCATAAAGCAGTCACTAGCACATTCAGTAATAATTTACGACTATTTCAGTAACTGTATTATCATTATATTGACTCATAATAATTTAATGGGCATACTTTTAAATAAACTCTCTGCTCTTTTTGGTCATACTCAATGATTAACACATTTAAAACAGAATCACTTCTATGAAACTTTTAAAATGCATAGCGATTAGCAGAATTGTCACCCATCCTGTGAATAGAGTCTCACTTGGTAATTTTCGTTGGAAATGCTTAAAACCTAATTTTAAGTCTAAAAAAAAAAGTCTTTCTTTTTTAAAATTTAAATCATAAATATCAACAATATTTTCTGATGTACGAAATATCTTCAAAATAACTTTCTTGCATTAAGAAATGTAAATATATATATTATTTAGAAAAAAGACCTTTTTGCTTGGATGAAATAGAGGTTAACAGTTTTCCTATTAATATTACCTGTCGAATCACCAAATGAAAAACTGACGCCTCGCCCCTTTTCTTTCCTGAACAGCTCTGTAACACAAGTTATCACGATGCTGTAACATTATGGCATACACTTCTCACATCAAGGAGTATCCTGGCCCTCACCATCAATATTGACTTAACTCTAGCTCAGCAAACACCATTAATTATGTACAACTGCTTCCACCTAATAAAAGCGTATCAGATCTGAACACCACCACAAATGAGGTTATGTAGGAGGGACCATTTCCAAACTCCTTTATCCAATTCATGCAACAGAAGTACTAAACTGCACACAATACGACACCAGACCACTGCAGAATACAACATTCTGGATCACAGTACGAGTGCACTTCTTAGCTGAAACAATGAGTAGATTATTCTGTCAAATTCATACGCACTTCTGGGCTGATGTTATCGCATGTAACCTGTGGCTGCGTCATTAATGAAAGGGGAGGATGATTCAAGAGGACACAACATTGAAAATTTATCGCAATTTACTGTGGCAATTAGAATGGATTAACTATTCAAACTGAATATTTAAAATAACCTTAATAACTTCAGAGTTCCTCAAAGACCCGCAAACAGTATGCACATCATTTGTGCTCAAGTTTATGAAACACTGTACTAAGGGTGCAACTGCCACACAAATTTGTAATAAATATATATTTTTGATTTTATGATTCGTCATATGTACATATATAATGAAAATAAGATATCTTATTACTTATTTCTGGTTAGAATGTGCCATAAATTTCTCTCTTCCATCAATTCAAGTTGCGTCCTGCTGGCAAAAATATGGTAAACGGATACTCGGCTCACTGCATCACTGTAAATTAAAAATCCACCCCACGTGAGGTTTTTGTGCACCGGGAAGTGAAGTGTTACGAGAATAGGGCTGAAAACTGACTTCCCCCCACCTCCTAAACAGCCCCGGTGCAGGGGTACATCACGGATGACAACGGACAGGACATCTCGGCGAGAGATGCCATAACGCAGCAAAACCACCGTGAAGGATTTTAGGAACCCCATTTTACCCCCCCCCCACACACACACACACTCTGCCTCTTTTGTGGGCTCAATCAGCGGGAAGTTTTAAAGAACACATTCCACCCCTCTCACCTCATACCCCTCTATTGTTGTCTGTGCTAACAGTCTGTGCAGTACGTGGTTTTAAATGCAATCGGCAGACGGCGTTCTCGTCCAAAATGCTATTCAATTTTTTCCGTACCGAGTTTTTTTTAAATCTATTGACATCATCAGAAGAACACGCCCATGGAAACGCAGGGATGTACGCTTTCCCTCGTTTTTATATGGAAAAAAACTTTTTCGGTTATTTCACATAATACTAAGGGGTTAAGATTAACCGCGGAGGTGTTTTTTTATACTTCTATCTCGCGGTGTTGAAAAACGGCTTCGAAATTAATGGTTAGGGATTGTCATTCGCTGGAAATAACACAAAGTTGGATATTTTCTGTGGTTTTCACATGACACGACAAAAAAAAGTGAGATGTCAAAAAATGATGGTTACGCACCCAAAAACCTGACTGGTACCACGGGTCTGTTTGTGTTCTGCGGTTAGTTACCCGCAACATAGTGTGGGATTTATCGTGGACAGAGTTTTACTTGTACCAAATCTTACTCCAAGTGGCCTTCTTATGTTCTCATCTGCTTATCGTCATTCAGTCAAAGCACCGTCCTTGAGGTGTGCGAGAGGCCGGTGCAGTCAGCAGGTTATCTCAGCCTTGGTCCCAGTTGAATTTTCTTCATCTCTATAACACGTACTTTGCTAGACTGAGAGAAAAAATTGAATATAGAATAATTTATTCCCTCTGTTACGCGTCTAAAGCTACCTGGCGTTTGGCATTAGGCCAAGAAGATGTATAGGGAACGTGGAGGCAAAGCTTCGCACATTCTTTTTTGTATGCACTACACAGAGGTGAGCTGGGTGAAGTTTACTTCCAGACTTCCAGTATTCGTTATGTCCAGTTATAAATATTGTGTTGAAATACAAATGTCAGAAGCCTCTATCAGGACTCAAACCCATAACCCGTTTCTTTTACTGAGCTTTTCACGATCTATAAGGCAGATATAACGTTTACAGCAGAGTCCATAGTCGCTGGGTTATTGTCTTGATGTAGATGTCGGAATGGACCTTCCACTCAGTAGTGACTGGGCCAAGCGTAGGGAAACATTCACGCTAATTCTTCCTTCCATAACCCCACTCACACAAGACAGGCGCATTGCCCTGTTCCCCACAGCCTTCCTGATAGAGTTCTGGCGACAAAACAACTCATTAGCAGATCCTTGCAGGGGGTGAACATCACAGAGGGAAACAGTCAGAAGGGTGGATCCTGATTTTATTTGTCACATTTCGAAAGTCACCCCCTTAACAACGTCGATTTTTAAAAGAGCTACGCAACCCTTTTGAAAATACAAAACACATTTTGCGAAGCAACAATCCTTCGGAACCGTATGACCGCAGTCAGACAGCGTGTTCATTTTAACACTTTCAAAACCACTCCCGCGACATCTCGTTGACAAGCAATGGTTCTCTGATACACTGTTGTTTCATGTTTGATAACGTAAGTGGAAGACACGTGTCCCTCCACCTCTGAACAGTCAAGCTTACTATTTGTGACTTGCTGAGAAATACCTGGTTAGTTGCATGAAGGTAAAACTATTTCTTGACGAGACAAGATGGGATAATTTGGTACAGACAGGAAGAAAATACGAAGCTGTATCTCAGATTAATATTCTATGTTATTAAAACGTAAACTGCATTGAGTTGGTAAAATGGGATTCAGCTGCAAGTTTGTGTGTGTGTGGGGGTGTGTGGGGGGGGGGGGGGGGGCTCTCGGTAACAGCCGGGAGCAGCGAGTCTGTGTCGGAATGCGAGTGTGCGAGAGAGCACTCACCAACAATCCGCTTCTTCTCATACGGTACCAGAACAAACTGGACAAGCATCATGGAGATCAGGCCCACACCTACACTGATAATCAGTGCCCCCCACCATGGAATGTAGTCAAAATACAGCACTGCAACAAACCAAATTGCAGTTAGTCAACCAACAGACAGCAATCTTTCCATGAATTAATCAGCACAAAATATTAAAATTAGGGGATTAACTGGCTAATGAGAATGGCGACATGGCAGGCGAGTGACTTTCTAAACATACTAATATTCAACGTATCAAAACTGTCTCAGATTTGTCACAAAAAAAAAAAAAAACAGTACATACTAAAAAAAATACCATCCCTGATACTTAATTAAGCACGGCACCATAAACATGTATGAGAAAATGGAGGAGCATCTCTGCGCATTCTTAACCCTGGCAATAAATGGGGTTGAGTGGTGATCTTCGCACTTTAGCCACTGCCACTCAGACCTCTGCAAGAGAGAGAGAGAGAGACCCAGTACTCGCTGTACAGGAGACTGGGTGAGCCCCAATCTTGGTCTAGACATGACAGGTATGAGAATTAAGCCTGTGGGGATTAAACCATGGCCATCGACACTACCGCCAACTTTACTCCACTGCAGTCTCTACCAATTACTCTATACTGAGGCGACATGGCATAACAGTGAATCCATATGGACACGCGGCAGTCCGAACGTACTGAAGACATTATCCTGTAATTAACGCAGGCAGAACCTCTACAAAAAGACCTGAGTCAGAACCACTCCACTGGGAATCTGTTCAATGTCTGACTGCAGCATTACCACCATAACAAACTTACCGTGGCACATCCTTGTGTGGGCTGTAAAATGGTTCGTTCTTCCTCATTCATGGAACAACCATCTGTTACAAAATGTTCCATAAATCACAAAACAATTTTAGCGATTAAAAATGCACGTATCAGTCTTTACTTACAAGTGTAAGGTTTGCTGGCATCTGAATGTTTCGCACTGAAAGTGTTAGCTCAGAATAAAGTTCCACTCACATTTGGGTCCATCGTGGACAATGGAGAAGACATTGACGAAAATGGTTATCCCATAGAAGAACGGAAGGGCGCGTAAGCCGGGCACCAGGGGGCGTGGCGAGAGGAGGATGAAATGGCGGATCAGCTTGAAGAGGACCACGGACATTAAGCCCGAGAGTACCGGTGAGATAAACCAGGACCCCACTACAAGAAACAAACACCAATGTTATTCAGTCTGTGAGTGAATTCAGTGGTTCATCAGGTAACAAGAACACAGTTAGCTCAATTCTCACAAAGTTACAGAAAACCACCAGAGTTCTTCATCCTTTGCGTCCCAGTCCGACTAGCAAGCTGCTAAATCATCGATTGAAAGTTAGGTTAGGTTGGCAGCCCCGTAGTATGGGGGTTTAAATAACTTTTTCGCCTGCGATAAAGGTTAAGTGGATTAACACCGAGTGCAAATGTCAAAGTTCATTCAAGTTCATCTCTTTTTTTGTTCCGCGTGGAAGACTGACGACGACTGCGATAAAGGTTAAGTGGATTAACACAGAGTGCAAATGTCAAAGTTCATCTCCTTTTTTGTTTCGCGTGGAAGACTGACGACGCTGACTGACAGATTTACAAAGCTATGGTCCAAGAAATGACACGGTACTTCACGTGTATGGGAAAGAAAGGAAGAAAAAGATCATTTTAAACCATTTTTTAGGTTACAAAAATTGCTCGTAACATTCATCAGTCGCCCAGCAACATTCGTGATGTTGGGGGCAGCATCCAACGGACACTGGGCCAGCCACAGGACCTATGGGAAAGCAGCTGTGAACAGAACACTAATTTCCATCAGATCCAGTTCAATATTATCCTCCCATCTACAACTAGGTCTTCCAGGTTTCTTCCCATACAAAGTTTGGATCCCAATCATTCCACAGACACGTGAGTTACGAACTATCCTCCACGACCCCCATGTGTCATCCTCGTTTGTTCGAAAATGCTCACCAAGTGCCCGTATTCATTAAGTTACGAAAATGTGTCCTCCCTAAATTATAAAGGGACGCTTGAGTACACTTGCACCAAGGCACGCCATGTCGATGTGACCTCTCAGCAAATGTCACTGCACAAGCTCGAAAGAGGAAGCTCACTCCGTCCTGCCCACTGGACCGCGACCTACCGCCCGCGCAACACGCGAGTATGAGAAGTTGCAGAGTCATGACCACGACGACCTGTCCAATTATCCGCCAGCAGTCACAAGCAAATCAGAAAACAGAACAGAACCGACTGAGCTGCATCGGCTCTCAAAACGATCTAATCCTCCGGTTTCCGGAAGCTTGCAGGTCCGTCCGGTCTCTTGCCTTTCGCCCCGAACTGTACAGCCGTGTCGTCACTTCGCACTTCACTCGACGCGACGCGACGCGACGCGGTGTCTAAATTTACTCCCGCATTCAACCCACGGATCCACCTATTTCCATTAGAGCCGAGTTTTCGGGCCACCCAGTTGTCACAGCAGCGGCGCCCGCCTCGTTCCAGTGCACGAAGCAATTTAGGTCGTGGCCGACTATCTTTAATGTTCGCGGTTTCCTCGTACTTCGATGCAGGCCACGGCGTATTTAGCGATCAGTGCACGGTTTTCGACCAGAAAGAACCTAGTTCAGATCCCGGGACACGCTGTGGGTTTCACGTGACCAACCACGAGGGAAAGGGAAGTCTCCCAGAGTTTCCGTGTTTTCCTCAGTATGGCCCAATAATACGTGGAAAGCAAGTTTAAAAATTGGCCACGACCTCTTCTATATTCCGTCAAATGCACTACCTACAACTGATCACTCATCGCCACGTTAACGAGTTCATAAAATACGTAACAGAAAAACTAAAAGATTTCGATGATGAATCATCGGGAATTATGTCGGACTAGGCCCTGAAGATGGACACAGAATGTTTCTCCGAAACTACGGTGTCTGCCTACGAGATCAGACGCCATCAGAACCCCGAACCTTGCACCGAAGCGGATTTTTTATCGCCACAAAACACCAGGTCGTTCCGTTAACTCAATTACCACACGTCGCGCTCTGGCGGCGAATGGTTGAACGAACAGGAAACGGAAATCCAATCCCCGCCCGCCTTTTCGTAGTTTCAGCTGGCGGATTCTGGATCTTGCCCCACGTCCGACATTCGCGATTTCCCCTCCATCTGCCAATTCCGGAAACAAGAGACGACCTTTCGGGTCCCACGGGACAGCCGCGGCGTCCCCAAATCCTGCTCTTATTGGGGTCAGCGCAAATGACTTAAGACACAGCATCTCTGGCAACTAAGCCACACGACAAAACCCACGAATGACAGAAAATATCGAATATGTTACCGATACTCACCAATGGTTCCTAGGGTTGTCCAATGGAGGCCTTCGGTCCCGCGACTGACCAACGAGAAGCCGACGGTAGCGCCAACAATACTGTGAGTGCCAGAAATCGGAAGCTTGAAGAACGTGGCAACCATGAGCCATGTGGCACTGCCCACTGCAACGAGACAGGCCTGCCTTCAGCTTTCTTCGGTGTCGTTTGAAAGTGACAGACACTTACGTGTTCACCGCAGGGGCCGACCTACCTAGTGACGCGAGGCAGCCCATCATGAGCTCCTTCTCCGAGTGCTCGTACACGGCCACTTCCAGGATGCCTTTCCTCATCGTGTCCGACACCTTGTAACCTGCAAGAGGAACCGACCGAGGTGAGATGCAGGTCCTCAAGGCGCCGTGCATTCTGGTAGAAACTGACTGACGTTTCAGGGGTGATTACTGCTTCCATCATCAGGTTCAGTGTAACAAACAAACATCGCCACGCGCGTATCCAACGAATGTCAATGCCTCCTATAATTGGGCCAAGTTAAATCTGAGATCCCTTCGACAGAACACGTGTACTGTCCACCGAGATCCAACGAATGTCAATGCCTCCTATAATTGGGCCAAGTTAAATCTGAGATCCCTTCGACAGAACACGTGTACTGTCCACCGAGCACGAGAAAATCCCTGCAAGGGGAAGTCGTTTCTGGTGCGGTGCGGGGGGAATGTTTACTGCCAGCTGGACTAGAGGGCTGCTATTGGTGGGAAGTGTGACACGTCAGAGTTCTACGCTACTACACAGACTGAAAACATCAAGCAGTTGAGACCAGCGTGTAGTGAGTGCACCTCTAATGTGTTCTGATAATATTCTAGATTAAATCGCTGTGCCGCTGTGAGGTAATCTTAAAGCTGTACCCATTAGAACACATGAAAGCCTGTCGTCTGTTGTTCGTTCAGTGGTTGTGGAACGAATGCTTTTAGGATGGGTCGTCACTCACAGCGAAATCTTGCGCATGCGCGTATATCGAATTCCTAGCAGGGATTTTCTCCTGGTCTGCGGACTGTACGTAATATTGCATATTTAGCAGACCTCTGACGTGTATCTGTGAATCTGGAGTTACTTATGAACAAATCTGACGGATTTAAATGCAAAGCAAATTGAATTCAAACAAAAAATACAAACTACACGGGATATCTGAGAAAATTTGTAACAAATTATAAAAATTATTAGTAGGAACATTTACATTGTACGCGTTCTCACAAGCTGCCCTTCAGAAAACGCCTACTTACGTAAATACATCGTCACATCAAAACAAATATTCTTATTAGAACGTTGTCCCTCTGTGTTCATCCCCTGGCCACGTAAAAAGTTGAACACGAGTACAAAACAATCATAAAATTACGAAACTGTTTTAATCTTCACACAGGTCAGGTTCTATACAAGAGAGTGGAGGGCGTGGAGGACACAATGACAAGTTCACCAACTGCCATCTCAAGACCAAATGACTGCACTTACCAATCAGGACAGCTCCTGCAATTTCGAACACTGTTGCCAACATGCACGCTTGTCTGACAGTAAGTACTTTTGATCCTACAGAAGTTCCAAAGGAGTTGGCAACATCGTTGGCTCCGATGCCAAAAGCCAGGACGAACGCCACTAGGAAGCCGACGACGATGAGCCACAGGACGTCCGGAGAGAAGGCCTCCATCGAGAAGGCGGTCGGAGTTGATGCTGTTATCGCTTCCATGGTGCGCAGTCGCAGACAAGGTCGTTCCTGGCCCCTTCGCGTCTTACAAAGTCTTTAGCTTCACGCCTCGGCCATCCACCGCTTGCAGACGACAAGTCCTCGACAGTCCTGCGCCCATTCTGATTCTCTATTTCTCTACGGCTAATATCACAGTTTCGTCTCCAAACCCTGAGCCTCCCTTCGTTAACTAACAGACACCGGTCAACAATTCACAAGTTCTTATTCCTTATTACAAAAATAAATTAGGACACCTTAAATTATTCGACTCTCTTAAATCACTGCCGCCTTCGTACCAAATTAATTTCTAACTTATTTGAAACTTTAGGCCTCTGGAATCTTCTCCTCTCAGTATTAATGTCAACAATTTCTTTGCCTCTGTAAAAATAATGTAACAGTAACAATTCCTTCAACAATGTTATTATTTCCCTTCAATTCTTCTTAATTACAAGTTCCTATCCTTGTCTTCTCCTCTATCCCTCTTTTGTTTCAAGAACAGAAAACAAAAAAGGGAATCGAGATCTTGGCCCTTGCAGCGGTGCGTTTATTCCCCACAGATGTCAACACATGTAATTCTCCTTTTCCAAAGAATCAGGAAGCCTCGCTTCAACAACTTCTGGTCGTGGGTCGATTCATCCTGTAAAATAAAACGGAGTCAGTGTCCTGCGAAAACCTCGACATTTCCATTGAAGGAGAAGTTTAAGACAGTGTTTTTGAAGTTCTTCCACTCGTATTAAGAGCTATAACAAAAAGTCTTACATCTCCCATACAAAGCTCGGTAAAGTGCTTTAAAAAGCATGGCGGAATGTCTGTGGCAGCTCCTGACAGTTAAAACGGTGGTACGAGCGGCTGCGAGACTGATTTTAGACGTAACACATGCACAGATATTTGAGGAAGAAGGTAAACAATTTATTCGTACAAGATTTGGAGCTCTCACGGCGACCGAATACAGCGACGTCTTCAGTCGAGTCACCGACCGCAAACAGGAGAACGAAACAATCTGCATTACTCTGTCAGTTTTGGTGCGTGCATCCCTTACTTACTTCCAGTAGACGCAAAAACTGAACAGAGAAGAATTTGAAACAATTTAACCACATAATAAATTGTAGTAGTGGACTCACCCCCAAAAGTTTAAAACTAGATTATCGTTCTTGATGACTTCTCTGCAATGTTATGAGGGTGAGGAGTGAAGGAGGAGACTTTGCCTCTGTGATGGCTAAGAAACGGACCGACTGTCCAACAGGGGGCAATTCCTCAATGCGCACTCGCTCGGTCCAGTCATCTGAAAAACACAGAAATATAACAAGATGCAAGATGACAGTCTGGATACGCTTCGCCGCGCCTCCGCAAAAGTATTGCTGGCATAAGACGACAGACGGAGCTGTTTCGCGTTATTCCTTCCCATTAACTGTTCCAAGAACTTACTAGTGTCAACTCAAAATTATTACAGCAAGAAACACGTCTGAGGAATTCCACGTGTGTTAAAGAAATCAGCAGATTTTAAGCTGAAACCCAGCATTGAAATGCCACAAACAAATATCGAAGTTTTGTATCTGTAAAATGTGCAACGATAAATTCAAAAATTCCCCCCCCCCAAAATAGATGCAAGTTCACCCTACACTTTCACCACAAGGAAATGAAAATTACTTTTAAGATTTTTGACACTAATGTAATTTGCATCCATGAAATAAGTGCAGAAACTTATCAAGAACGAGGCGACCGAACCTGGTGAAATTATCACAGAACATTTCATTAAGGTGCAATTATAACTTTTCAAAATTAGTGGCAGGCCACGTGACGCAAATCTGAAATTTATGGTGACTTTTAAACTACAACAGATGAATCATACCAAAAATTTTGATGTTACTTTCAGAGGACAAAATGTTTAATCCAATTTTTCTAGTCCACGCACTGAGAAGTGCAAATTCAGTCATGCTCAAAACCCATCTGCATCTTGGTTAATCGTCGGAAGTTCCTGAAGATTTTCCCCACCACAATTGTCTGAATTCCCAATCTTCCTCATCCTAGCTGCATGTCCAGCCCATCATAGCCTCCTACATTCCATTGTCGCGTTCTTTCGCGATGTTTCATGGCGACATGAAAATGGCTTTCGGGTTCCACTGCTCACAAATTTCCCAGATTGCATGGGAAAATACGAGCAATCATCAAATCGCCAGGCGGAGATCGCCAACTGCCATAACAAAGCTTCGTACTGTGTAATTGGACTTAACGAGATGATGAAGCCTGCGTTGCCATGGCATCGGCTGGTAGCCAAGGAGACCGCGACTCTGCAGGAGGCCATGGTCACATTTAACATAAATGGCTGATGTCGAGTTAACAAGCCGTCAACTGCGAAACTACTTTTTACACTACGAAGATAACTCAACATCAAACGAAATGTGGTCCATTGTGAGAGAAACAGCTGTGGCTGGTTGTATACATTTCTTGTTTATTAAACGACACCATCAGCAATTTGGACTATACAGCGTCAAATGATAGATCGATTAATGGATTGGAATGGATATGTAAGGAAGAGGTCGTGGACCAACACACGGTACTGACGCAGAATTTGCTGAGGAAAACCACGATCCATCCTCTGTCCCGGATTCGTACATTCAAAATCGTCCGGGACCAGCTCTGCTTCCAAATGGCACGCGTTACTTTGGGGTAATGACTAACCCCAAGGTCTGCGGCCTCCCAGCACAGCAAAATGAGGTCAAGCTTTGCACACAGCGTGCCAGGACAGATGGGCTGCCTACACACAAGGGGGACACGACTTTTTCAGCAACGAATTACATAAGCCACTCTTCCACGAAGGACGCACGTAGGAAAGCGAGATTCAGAAATCAGCAGCAAACACGAGGACGAGAAGTCGATTCGAAAACCAAAATTAACCCAAACGCACCGGCAATACGAAATGAAACAAAAAGAGAAGAAAGACAATGGTGAAAGAAATTACATAAGGAGTAAGCGATCACACAGCAGGAACGGCGAGGGTCCACGAGCGCAGTGCGTGACTCACCCGCGTAATCTCGGCACGAATGGCGCAAGACTGCGCCGCGTTACGCAATGCAATCCGCAGTCCTGGGTCTGCCTATGCCTTCCCTCAGCCAACCATAACGAATTCTACGACGGCATCCCAACTCTCAGCAGTTGATATGGCGTCGTGAAACCATACCTGCACCACGCAGCTGTCTCACACCGGATCGGCGACTGTCAGTCGTTTTGAGCCTTTGTCCGCTGCTGCGTTCGTTAACATGGAAATTTAACACGAGGCTACTTCCTGACTGTGGTTGCTCACGTGGCCACAAACAGCCAGAAGAATCCAGTCCAAGCCGTCAGACCTTTCTCTAAAATCCAATTTAATATTATCCTCTCACCTACGCCATGCCATCCTGTGCCCCGTAAGTTTATCTGGTGAAGAATGTTTTTACGACCTCAGCAGTTTGCTCAACATCACGGGACGGCTGAATCAACTGCGCGTGCTGTTTACGCAGGCATCGAGGCGACACGCCGAAAGACACACAGAAACCATCCCACCCGCGGTTACTCAGGGTTGCCTCTGCAAATTCGCTCGGGCAATACCCGCTTCTGCGACGTAAATCCGAGACAAGACTCAAGATAAATATTTGAATATTCGTGGAGGAAAAGCACGGAGCTGCCGAAACTCGCCTACAGAAAGCGAACGACTTCGGCGAGCAGATGGGTTTTGAGCATGACTGAATTTGCACTTCTCAGTGCGTGGACTAGAAAAATTGGATTAACTTTTTGTCCTCTGAAAGTAACATCAAAAATTTGCACATTGGTTCTCGCAACAGAAAATTTTTGGTATGATTCATCTGTTGTAGTTTAAAAGCCACCATAAATTATAAAATCCCTGCCGCATTCTAACCGCCAATGAGACGGCATGAATCCCAAAATTGAAGAACGGGTAGGCGGGACACGATCCCGGAACCTCATAGCTGCCAGCACAAATCAATCCGGGGACAGTTGGCCAAGTCAAGCTGTGATGAAACTTTGGCGCGGTGCCTCAGAGACGCGGTGCGACTAAAATGTGCCGGTCCCTCGCACATAAGGCCCAGGACGACGGCGAACAACGCACGAGGAGCTTCGTAATCCGCGTTGTTCGCAAAATCTGCTTAATCTTGAAACAGTTTCATATGAAATTTGTGAACACATTCCGAATTCCACGTGACTGCAAGCTGAAACACCAAACCGTGGCCGAGTCATTTCCCCTAGCGTACAAACGCAACCCCCACAACAGCTACACGCGGATGCACAAGATTTTAAGCAACATTTCAAAACTTTGGCCACCCTCGTGCGGGCAATGCTACAGACAACAACAAACTTAGGACCTATTCCGTTCTCTGGCGTGACCTCCACGCCCTGTTTCATAAACGTCGTTGTGGTAATAAAGAGGGGCCTGACGACGCCCCGGCCACACAGTGAGAGTTCTTATATTTTACTGGGGAGGGGGTGGAATTGAGTTCGGTAGGTTCTCCGTTTGCTCCCTTCCTTGGTTTCGTTGCGTTCGGGGTTAATCCTACCAATTCCATGAATTTCGCGCGATTTTGACCAAATTAGGATTCGTCCTAATTATCTGTCCTTGCCTGCGGACCTGAACTTTGTTATAGCACCGTCCTCAGACCCAGCTGGCCACGTGACAGTCGTGGCACGAGCTCCGATCGTGACTGCGGATTCTCGGACCGAGACGACAGGCGTCACCTCAGTAAAACGCGCGACATCGGACTGTGGGTCAACTAACGAAATCAACACGACGCGCATACCATGAAAACGGAAGCAGTACGTTCCTCGGAGCAGCTATACCTCCACTCCTCCACACGCCTTCAGATGTTTTAATTGCTTCTCCAATTAACCCAAGACATCAGCGGCTGATCGATTAATCGCAGAGCCACGAGGAGACAATCCCCTCACCCGCAAACTTCCCACTATTAACCTCATTATTCTTCCCTTATCCTGGGATCGGAGCAGACCGCCACTGACCGCCCTGGCTGATCGATTAATCGCAGAGCCACGATGAGACAATCCCCTCACCCAAAACTTCCCGCTATTAACCTCATTACTCTTCCCTTATCCTGGGATCGGAGCAGCCGCCACTGACCGCCCCGCACGATCCTTCCATCCTTTTCTCTTCTCGGACTGGGACCTGTTCATATACGTTCTTGGCAGATGATCCAGAAGTGGTTTGCCATTGCCTTCTTCTGTGTGTGAATGGAATAATTGTTGGGATGCCTAGACCACGGCCTTGCCCAACACAAGTTATAAATTCGAACCCGAGACCCCAGGATTACAAGGCCAGCGTTCTAACCGCTAGACCTCCGTGGCTGTGTTAAGTCGCTGTACCAACTTTATTGTGGTCAACGAGGTCTGACAACTAAATAACCGGACTGATGATCAGTTGGCACTCATTGGGTCACGTGACCCAATATCACGCAGTCGTTAGGATTGAAATTGCAGAGAACCGTTGACGACAGACGTGTTGGGGAGGCTGTGGTACGATTTATGGTTACTCGGTGCTTTCCTTGGAAAGGGGAAGATAAGTTCACAGTCGACCTTCTCTTCTCGGTTACATCTCGAAGCCAAAGTACGCCTCGCAGGTTCAGCGCGGCGGGAACTTCGCCCAGATCCTCAATTCCTCAAAAATGGCCCGACAATCCTCGATCAGCAACTCACCAATTACATTCACAGCGAACTGCTTTAACCGCGACGAACATGAAGGTACAGCACCGAGAACAGTAAATGCAACGGGTGAGGCGTATAAGAGGCCGAAAGCTCCCTCACACACCACAGCGAGATCGGACAACGCCCGACTCCTGAACAAACGAGATTAGTTAAAACCTCGGTATCGTGTAAATATCTTTCTCTGTGGCTACCAGAATCGTAACTTTATTCTACGTCACGCCACCTCACAGCATCGCAACATTAACGCCGATTACTAAAGGTCCGAGGTTCGTGTCTTACCGTAGGCGAGGAGCCAACTTCGCGCGGTGCAGAACAACGCATTTCCAGGGCAAAACCTGCGCTGCAGGAAGGACCTCTTCCGTCTGCAGTCCAGCAATCTATTTTCACGAGGCTCCTTGCAAGGACTAACGAACTGTGCTCCTTAACGCTAACCTGCGTCACCCATCCCACGTCGCCGTTCATAAACACACGTGCGCGCCGACGTCTCATAACAACGGATATGTTGCAATCAAGAGAGCGTATTTAATTACCGCCATTCAAATGAGGAGACAGGAATGGTGACGACACGTGTTGCTACGC